TAACCATTACTATTCGGGTCATCGAATATTCCGCCATAAACATAAGATGGCTGTCTCGTATAATAGAGAATGTACGACGGCCACGTGCGTAGGACGCGTATAGTTCAAAGAATTACAGAAGTCTGTCAGTGACTAACCTAGACCCGATAATGCAGAAAAAGTGAGCTGGGCGTCTGGGACGCTTCGTTGTCGGAAGAACATTGACTCATCGAGGAGCGTCGGGCATACGCGGCGAGCCATTCGAAATTCCACGAATATTCCTCGTCGTGTCGTAAAGCCGCCAAACACGACTTACGTACATTCTCGCCCTCTTGCACCCCTGATCCGTGCACCGTCCACCACGTGATCACGGTCCTTCCACTTCCCCGCGTCCAACGACCGGTTTAGAATAACCGAAAGCTCCGTGGTTCGACCCATTCGCGAGTTCGAACTCGAGTTGTTCGCGTCTACTTCCTATCTTTCTTTCTTACCACCCTTGGGAACCGGGACACTTCGCTCGATAATGGAGGTCGCTAAAGGTGCGTGTAACAAATTCGATTCAACTGTCCCCTCTCTAACTACATTTATTCTTCGAACACCAGCTTCGATTTCCAAATCGAATCTTTTAATTACGAGCTATTCTTCTTCAAGCTCAAATCCTCTTTTGATTCTTTCAATTACAATTTGTGTAAAAATTGCGATTTTTTACGTGTTGGTATTCGGATAGTCAATTTATAAGATCTTTGTGTTTTAACCCTGTTGCTGACTTGTATATTAATTGCATTGAATAGTTACCAAACCCTCACACAAAGTTTGATTAACACTAAAATCAAACCGGTCAAATAACCGCTCCACAAGTTTCTTATTATAAGCTACACATTTTGTTAAAACATTCCTTGAAATCAGCATTGATTTTCATCAAGGTAAAGAATAAATGTGTGTACTAATTTATGTTTCGTTTGTTTATTTATTTTTTAACTTCAAATTGGTAGATTTAGTTTAATAACTAAACTTGTTAAAAGTTTCAATAGAAAATTGAGGACATCGCTCGATTAAAATCCTACTTTAAAAGAAATTTCATTGTACTTGAAACGTCGAGTTAAGTGTTTAACCCTGAGCACTAATGAGATCCGTTTTCAATTTGCAGCAAACGAAAGTGCCGATAGCCTGGTAGAGCAATCGATGAACATCACGGCGGAGTCTAAGTCCGTGTCGACGATGAAGTCGGTGCAGAGCGTGCAGACGAAATCGGTGATCGAGTCGTCGACGTCGATCAAGTCCGTGACTTCGTCGTCGACCAGGTCGCAGCAGAGCATGGAGTACGAGGAGACGGTGGAGTACAGCGACTAGAAGACATCGCGTAAACCAAAAAAATACACCCTTTCGTGCCACGTGGAGGAGAGTGGTATTTTTGACTCGACTTCCGCTCCGGAAGTGCTCCGTTAGTGGACGAGTTTAGACGTTTCGAGAAAGGAAAACATAGTCGAAAAATCTGTCGTAGTGACAGGAGAAACGAAATGGACGTTCGCCAGGGGACGAAACGAACAGTCGAAGAAGAGGTAAAAGGAAGAGCAGAAATCGAGTCGAAGGACCGATGGGTCAAGGCATCCGCAACAATATGGAGCTACGTTACAGAAATAACCACCGTGATCCGAGATGCGTGATAATGAAAAGAAGAAGGAAACGAAGGAACGTTTTGAAGCCTCGTCCATTAGCTGGCTCTCCTCCAATCGGCGTGGTTCATTGCCAAATACTCGCCCCTTCCTTCCCAGGATCCTCTTAGGTCCGCTCGATCCTCCTTTTGAATAAGTAAGCTTCTCCATCATCGTCACCTTTCGAGACCACACTTCGTTGCGAACGGTTATCTTTGTACAATAAACTTTCTAAGATATTGTTCTCTTGTCTTCTTCAATCTCCCCTCTTTCTGATAATTCAGATCACAAAATGGTATCTTATACGAATTCGTAAATCGGACTTTCGTAAAAGGTACATCTCACGGATGTACAACACTGTTATAGTTCAGCGACGTCTGACGTTATACATAGCGATACAATCGCTTCTACAACGTGTGGTAGGAGAAGTTTAATGATGTGTAATTAATGCGTAGATAATGAACAATACATGGGAACACGTTGGCGAACGTATGCGTAACATGACATGTGAACGTACGGTACTTCGCGATGTAGTGCACACAGAATGCAACATGTGGATATAATGCATAGAAGTACCAAACATAGAACTTCGTGATAATGCAACTTGTAGCACAATACGTAGACAATGCAACGTAGAAGCAGTACCATGGGAATACATGTTACACAACGCATTCCGACCTAGACCTTGCATAGTTAAGATGTGTTTGATTCGCAGTTAATTTTGATAACTGAAGTGCAATTTTCATGTAACCCTTAACCTTTCCTTTTCTCGACCATTGGCGAAGTTCGAGCAAGAAATATCAGCGTTATTTGCCGTCAGAGACGACCGATAATTCAACTGGCAGGTACACACAGAAGTGGGTGGGATATGGGTTCGATGGGGTTTTCGAGATCCAATTAGCTGACGTCGAACGAAAACCGTGAAAAGCTAAGCAAAGTGGCGAACGTTCCTCTATTTACGTTCGACTAATCTTTTAGCCTCGATAAGGACGTCTTTGAATCGAAGGAAATTCGAACACGATGGGAGCAAAATTGAGGCTTACGGGATTAGGTCAACGACGGTAGGCTCCGTGTTCCTTTCACCGGAATATAATTTCAAAAAAGGAGAATTAACTTCGTTATAACATTACATTAATTTAATTTAATGTAAGGAATACTCATTTAGTGACAATATTTAAGGTAGCAAATTCAGAATTTCGAAATTAGTCCATGTCTGACTAGGCGCGACTATTTCTACTGCCACAGTAATCCGTGTAACGAACTACAAAATCTCTTCCGATTATTTTCCACGATATTCTTATTCATTTAGACCAATTCCCGCTGATTTGTTTCTGGGGGCACTTTGTTCGAACAAATTAACCTGAATATTCTGACAGAGTGCGAACGTTTATTAAACGAACGCAGGAAGGGAAGTCCTGGCAGAAACGTCTTGCCTTCGGACAATATGGAGATTTATAAACGTAATTTCACCGGAACAGTGTACACGGATAAATCTTGCTTAACCCCTTGAGTACGAATTACTTTGACCTACCGCGTGAATTTTCTTAGCCTCTCGCGACACAGGTCCATCGCAATATTTCAAGCATTCGAACACTGCGCCTGAAAGCAGTTACAAATTAATTTTGTCAACAATTTGTCGGGAAGAATGCTTTGATGGCTGGCTCGAAAATTAATCTGTCACGGGAAATGCTTTGAGGGTTCTCAACTAATTACAGCGACAACATAAGGAAAGCACTGTTGATATTTATTATAAAATTGAAACTGCAATCGTGTCATAAAAATAAATTAAACTTGGCTAACATAGTTCGTCGTTGTAGAATAAATTCCCAATCACCCAAAAGCAATTTCACATGTTACCTGAAGCGAAATATAAGTTCGCTAATGAACCGCGTTCGAGTGGAATAACCCGGTGCTTTGTACCTCGCGAGTAGAATCGAGAGGAAGATAAAAGATAATTCGCTAAAGTGTACAAAGACACAGTGGCAAAGGGGTCGAGGGGTTGAGCCGAGACGAAATTCAGCGTCGTCTGACGAAATTAAGTGACACTCTCCAGGGAACCACTAGGACATGCGGTAAGCGTCACTGAAAGTTTTACAGGCCGTCAACTTTCGAGGGTCCTCGTTTACGACTTACACTTTCCCCGAAAGCTACGGCTAAACCGGCGAGATACGAGGGGAAGTTTCAATATCTTCGTCGAGAGATACGCTTAGGAGGACGTCTATTTGCGGGGAAAACGAACTTCCGTGCTAAATCCGTGATTAATACTTGACAATCAGAAGTTACTAACAGCCGACAGCTGGGGAATCATTGCAATTAATCGAACGGTTAAATATTGCTTAAATTCGATCTGCAATGAGGAAACCCTTAGGTACTGTTTAATTCTGTTCTCTCAGCAGAATTTATATTTCGAATTTTATAAGGGATGTAATAAATGTGATACATTAATGGACATGATGGTAATCAATATGATACAGCTATGTGTTATTAAATAGTAAAGAAATTTTTGAACGTGTCTGAAAGATTGGTATCGTGTTTCACCCCTGAGATTGCTTATCAATTCACGATCAAATCGGAAGAGAAACGTTTTTCGTTAATTATCGGCAACACGAGAGAACACGCTCCATCACTTACGATTTGACCTTGTGATTCATCGATCTTTATCCACCTACAGGTAATTTCTCTGTTAGTATCGAACTAATTTTCGTCACCGAAACCTCGATTACCATTTTTTATAAAAAGTAGACAAAGTGCATGCATAAGTTTCTTCTCTGTCAGAGACTTATGGTCTCGAAGAAACCATACAATGTGCCGAACAATTGTAATTGTTAACAGAAATTTGTTCAGCATAAAATGACTTTTGTTGTGAAAATCTTTCAGTAATTTTTCAGTGGAAAAGTTTGAAAGCTAAGTTAAGAAGTCGAAACGTAACAAAGATTCGAAGTTAAATGTCTCGGGGGCAGAAGTTGACGTGATCGATGAATGTCACGCATTTCGCTCGTCATTGTTCTCGTTCTAGGTCGAATTCAATGCGATTCGATGGAAGAGGTTGGAAGAATACTAATCCTGAAAGAGGAACGTGATCGGGCCGGTGTTCGAGGAACGCGCTCGATTATCGGTTTCGAAATTCTCGAATTGTGGGTCGATCATATCGGCATAAAATTCACGGACACGTACGACTTGCACTTCCATCGAATTCTTCCGTGTCATATTTCGAAAATATTTTACTGGTACTGCATCCTCTTATGAACTTTAATATCTGACAATTGTGACATAAAATTGTGACTTCAATTTTAATCCATAATTCAAACCACTCACTTTAAATTATTACACCCGTGTTTTTTTAAAGTTATGAAATATTCTTAGGGATACCTGCTGCTGTTGACAGAAGTGTTGCTCCTGCTTCGTCTCGAAATAATCGAATCACCCCGATTAACGACACCTTTACGCGAGATGCTGAATGCCCGAAGTCTGTAGAGGTCGTCCCCGGCTCGTGGGTTGTACGCTTTTTCTGGCAAACTGTGCACGCGTGGCCTAATGTGATCCGGCACTGTAACATATTGATGGACAGTTAATTAAATCCGTGCCATTAGTTCGAACAGGAAAACAGATTACATAAACAGATATTGATTGGGTGTACCGTTAATTAGATACTGCTCATCGTTAACTGACACACTACTCTCTCCAAGTTTCGATCTTTGATCGTTTATAATCGCCAAATATCATTATAAAATAACGGGAGAGTAACTTCATCTTTGATACAAATAATGATGGATACAAAGTATAATTTATACCAGATAATCAGATCAAATTTTTTCATATAACAGATACAATTTATACCAGAAAGTACAGATAGATATAAAAAGGACTTGATAAAATTAACCTTCCAAAATAACATTGGAACATAAATTTGCAAATCTATTTTGGAAAGAATTTAACCGTTCTAACTTTGGAAGATTTACTGCTTAATATGCAGCTTGCCAATTTAAATTTCCTGCTCATCTACGGTTTAAAAATACATCGATTCGGTGATTTTCAATCGTTTTTCGAACATCAAGGTACACGTTTTATCGCTCTTCCGAATTTCCACGCAACCGCTCGTTAGATATATTTGCGAATTGAAATAACGCAAAGCGTATTGCCAAAACTGTTGAGCGATAAAGGAAAATTTGGTTTGCCCCTCTGTGAAATTTTCGTTCGCTTTTTTGTAGACTATTTTTAAACTCTTCTCTTTGCCATGTTCGCTTTTATTCGATACGTACAAAGTGTTACTGTAAATTCATTGAACGAGTTGATAGACAAAAATTTATAGAGTTTGAAGTTTACTATTTGTTGGTCGTTGAGACACGTGGTGTGCTTGTTATTTTATAGAAACTTAAGAGCCTTTGATGGCCGAACGTGGTCCAGCATTCGAACCCCTGGAAAGCAACCCAAGGGTCAAGGTATATCGTGGGTCTTCGCGTTTACAGCTTCATCAAAGACAGCTCATGAATACTGTATCAGAATCGTATATGGCCTCCATGGAAAGGGTGATCACAAACTGAGTTGCTCTAACATTTCGTACGATTATCCCTGTCAAACGTAATTATAATTACTACACGTTTCAGTAAAAAAGTTAAAAAATTCATACACGAACGTCATACAATTTCGATCCAAATAAATCGTATTGAAATGGAAGGTTAATAAAAGTTTCAGATATGACACAATCGAACATCGAGTTACAATATTGCAGTTCCATTAGTTTTACAGAATGAAATGGTTAATAAAAATCGGAACAAAATTGATATTTAATCTGTATGGCAACCTTGAACAAAAGACGAAGAGGACAATGACGCTAGGACAATGCGAACGATCGGCCACGGATGTCCAATGGCACGATTCATCATGCGAGGACAAGTTTGACCCGAATGGAAAATCAGTCACTTCGATTACGTTCGCTGACAAAGCGTAGCCGACGAACGCTCCAACATTTAATGCGGTTACACTCGACGAGGCACTCAAGGAGTTCACCCTCTGGGCTAGGTATCTAATTAGGGCAACGACGCTCGCCTGGAAGTCTCAAAATTAGCCGCACCGATGAAAACCGATGATACTCGATTTCGCCAGGAAATTTCAATGTCACTCCGCTTACGACAATCGACCAACGGGATAAATGCTTCGATTAATTATTAGCTCGTTGAGCGTCGAACTTGACGAATGTCATGTTCGTCATCGTTTGGTACCGAACGCTTCTATTAGGTTGAAAGGCGCATTCTACTTTGTTTATTTGTCTGTTACGATATCGTTATTGATTCTATAAATTAACAGTGTTGATATTCATCCACATTGTACCTTGATGGACGTAGAATTACGTAGCTTCTACAAGTTTTCACCATGAATTTTTCCTTGTCTTGATTCTAAAGTTATGCAATGATAGAGAATTACAAATTGTACGACTCTCACAATCAGTGAAAAAAAAATTTCTTACATGGCGTCTATAGAGAACGGTACGCATGATACTTTATCAACGGAATAATTAAATTAACGTCTCCACGGTAAATGAAATATGCGAACATAAATTGAAAGATTGAACTTTTTCTCAGACCAGTAGTGTTTTATAGGACGTAAAAGGCTTCTATCATATTTTTACCCCGCATTTACAAATGAGGTTTTACAGATCCTCTTACCATATCTAGACACGATAGCAAAAGATTATCCTAGTTTGCGATCAGTGATTACGCATCTGTTCAGTGATTAAGCGGCTTACATAGTATACAGTTAACGCATTGACTCGCGCAGTAGAAATAGCCGTATCTAATACGACATATAATAGCATAGGCTTCTATTACCGGTACAGGAATTATTTTTGTAATACAATACTGTATTTTGATTTCGAATTATCAAGATCTTGGAACATAGTCTCCTTAGAAAATTTTTTAACAATTTTTGTAAGCGACACAGGTTACTTTTTAAAATAGGCTTCATCAAACATTCACAAAGAAATTATTTTTAATAGCAAAAATAATCAGAAAGCACTTCCATAAGAATCTTGCGAATTATTTTTGTAGTACAATACTGTATTTTGATTTCGAATTATTAAGATCCTGAGACATAGTCTCATTAGAACATTTTTTAACAATTTTTGTAAGCGACACAGGTTACTTTTTAAAATAGGCTTCATCAAACATTCACAAAGAAATTGTTTTTAATAGCAAAAATAATCAGAAAGCACTTCCATAAGAATCTTGCGAATTATTTTTGTAGTACAATACTGTATTTTGATTTCGAATTATTAAGATCTTGGGACATAGTCTCCTTAGAACATTTTTTAACAATTTTTGTAAGCGACACAGGTTACTTTTTAAAATAGGCTTCATCAAACATTCACAAAGAAATTGTTTTTAATAGCCAAAATAATCAGAAAGTATTTCCATAAGAATCTTTCAACATCAATTTTATCATCAATCAAATTTTTTCATTCACAAGCAGCATATTTTCAACAGCAAAAAGTATTTCCATAAGAGTATCATTTTACGTCGTATCACTAAGTCCGCCCATTATTTTCCACTCAAAATTTTCCCCCAAACTTTCCGAGCAACCGTATCAGTTACAAGAATCCCTCCTGTACGTTAAGCTTTCGTTATCAATTCCAATATACGGTGCACAGGTTTCGCCAGTGATAATTTTTGGTCATCGATTTTCTATTTTTATCGCACCGCTTATCAAGAATGTCATCCAACTTCGTAGATTTTTTGTATCGACCCGAAAGTAAATTTGGTAGCTCGAGAAAAGCTGGTCAGCCTCTGTTTGCGGAAAGTATTTATCCACCGGGCCGCATAATTAATTTCCGACGTGCAGATACGGCTTGTTTCGGATACTTTAAGGTAATCCGTCAGCTTGCTATGGGGAGCCTAAATCCGACGGACAGGGGTTACGAAATGAGCTCTGACAGAAATTATTTTCGCGATAACGGCTGCGATATCACCCTCCGCTGTTACTCTGCTCCCTAAGGATCAAGGGAAACAGATTCGTCTTCGAAGGGTGCCCGAGCATACTCTGTTGACACGCGCATGGAAAAACGATTTCGATGTAAGTGGAGAAGTTCATGTTCGGAATGATTTATTTTTATACCAACGCTTCTCGATTATTGAAATCGTTATGCAGAACATGACGTATCGATTTCCACATATTTCAGATAAACATCCATTAAAAAAACTTGATACCCGTTCAACTAATTTTTACAATGAATTACTTTCGAGAGCACAAGAGGTTTTGATAGCTTGTCAATAACATTCGCAACTGCTCTTAAAAGTTTGATATGCGTTTAAACGCAGTTGTTGAAACAAGAATTTTGTAGGATGTTTACTGCGAGGGCGGACTGTATTACGTTTAATTACAACGGAGGATGAACACGGTAATTGCAAAAAGAAGTAAATCTGTGCACAGGGAATGCGTGAACATATTTATTTTGTTAGCGAAGACCTCGCTCCGTATTTCAGTGGTACATTGAAAGTTTAAACCAGGCCAAGCAGTACCGTGTCGTCCCTGCTTCCGATATGATTCAATGTAAACAGCAACGCACGATTAAAAACGCCTGGAACAATAGCCGAGCCGATAACTTGACCCTGTTTCTGTGGAACACTTGTTCAATTGTGTCGCAAAAATTAAGGAGTGTCATTTTTTATCTTGATACAATTATTTATGTCTAAAGATAGGCAGTTGCAGTCACAACTGTTCATTTTGTTGAAGATCAGTCATATTTAATATGATCCGAAGTCTTCTCTTTGACTGAACATAATTAGAAAGAACTTGTGAATCAGTGGTACTTTAATGACCCAAGTTCAAGTGCATTTATAGCAAAATAATCGTACTAATTAGTGGATAACAATCTTATGTTTCTACCGTTCAAATATTGAAGTCTGCTTAACCCGGCATTTTCCTATTATCGCGATCCGGCTCGAGCTAACTTTCTTCTATTATTACTTTGTGTCAGCTGCCGATAAATTGTCTGCCATAAAATTTAATGCTGTACAAATCTATAAAAACGTCGAACCTCGTTCAACTCGCATTCGAAAATGTCCCCATAAAATCTCCATAAAAGTTGTCTAGCAATATTGAGATAAACTGTGGAGATAAGTTTAGAGTCTGTTCTGATCTCGAAACATCTTGGTTCAATAACCGTAAGGTCCTGGATAATTAAGGAGATGTGCTCACCAGGTAGCTCCAAGAAGTTCGAGGTCCTCCGTTGCCTGCCACGTGGATGAGCTGTGAAATTCAACGGACCCAAATCCTCGTTGCTGACGTTCGACAAATTGGAACACTGGCTGTCGCGCGAGCCTCGTCTGGACGCTAGATAAGCTGCAACACAGAGCCATTCTCGGTGAATTTCATCGAATGGCAGCTGGGGATTCGTGGTGTGCATCCCTTCAAAGGGATTTGTCGGACGAATCGTTCGAGGGATAGATAATTGCAACTCGGAACGAGCGTGGCTCGTAATTTCACTCCGAACGCGTCAAATGACGATTCGTCACGATGATTAATTCGCTGGAACGTCAATCACTCTTCATCGGGGTCACGAATTAATCAAGGATCGATCCGGATTAGATGCTCGAAATAAGTCGAACAATCTATTAATTACACCCTTACTGTTTAAAAACTTTACCACTTGGAGACCGTGCAATTTTGGGACTTCTATTATTTTTTTAATAATAATAAAAATAATGAGTCAGACTTTAATAGTTCTGCAGTTCACATAACCGTTCCAACTAGCGGTTTAAAATCTAAATAAATTTCACTTATTCAAAAATGAAAATTCATACGAATTCAATATGTAAAACCGGCGACGAGAGCGTGGAATATTTACAAAATTCAAGAGAGCTTTAAATCGTATGCAGTCAATTCAGCTCCACAATTCTTCTTGATTACGAAATCAGATTTAAGCACAGCGTAAAACGTGATTTTTAGGGAAACGGAGCTCGTTATCTGGTTACGTGACAAAACTTTGTCAACCGTGTTATTAGATAAACCCTGTCAGTGGTTAGATGCCTTTCCAAACTATTGAAAAACTAAAGTAACAAAATGTAGCGAATGAAAGGGAAATTCACGATCGATGATTTATAAAGCCGATAGTGATTTCAGTCATTGATTCCGTTCGTACAGGGATATTGTATCAACCGAGTGTTTTAGTATCCAGATAATTAGGTGAGTTTGTAATATCTCATTACCAGGTAATTTCGTTTACAATTTCATCGGTCACAAGGCTCGCCCGCGCATTAACCAATCAATAATGAACTCTTTCGCGATTCCACGAATTCGCTAATTAATTTTTCTACCCAGCTACACTTTGTGGGCTCTTAAATTCAATCCGTCGCATGTATTCGATGGCAAAGCTCGTTAAACTCTCCTGTTTTCAGCTGGATCGCTCATTAACGTTTTACATCATGTTCAACATTTCGTGGAAATTGAAAAAATGAAAAAACTCAGAGAGCTACAGCGTCAAAACGTAATCGCTGCAACGTGTGCAGCTAACGACTTGTTTACTCGTTGCTTTTTATACGTAATTTATCCTTCTGCACCACTATTGATTTAATCATAATTATGTCTAATAAAACGCAGACAAACGTTCGTTAAAAACCCTGCACTTATCCCTCTCGCTTAAACTCGATTTAAATTTGTGCAAGCAATAGTAGGAAATATGTGATTATTAAAGAGGAAACTCACCAAGACCGCCTTTCATGGAGCCCCTTCTTCTGGGACTGGACAGCATCGTCACTTCCGTGTCAGCGTCTTCAATTTCCGTCAAGTCACTGGTCGACCTCCTCGCTATATTCTTCTCTTCCTTTTCATAGTTTTCTTCCTTCGGTTTACCTTGACTGTTCCCGGCTTCGTCCAGGCATCCTTGACTTCGATTCAGGTGGCCCTTCTTGCTACCTTTCTTCTCTATCGGACTACTCTTCTCCTTAAACGAGCCTTCCACGGACGATCTCCTCGACCCATTCTTATAATTCAAATTATTCTCCATATTCGTCTCGCAGTGTTTCGGACTGGTTGACCCATGGATCGAGGAGGTGACAATAGTGGGCGACATGGGACTCTTAGATCCGCTGAGTCCGAAGCAGGAGTTCCTGCGATGATCGAAGAGTTTCGGGCTCTTCGACCCGAAACTGCTCGAACTGGGTGACCTGACTGGGACTATGGGTGACCCTGACACGGGACTCCTCGGTGGATAGCTCATGGTCTTCCCCAGGTTCTTTCTGGTCTCGCAGAACTGGAAGATCGGCGACTTTCGACCGGGAGAATGCAACAGGTCCGGATTCGGACTCTTGGGACTTCTGCATCCCTGGCGAACGTAATAACTGGGACTTCTTGGTGCTCGATCTACCTCGTTCGCTCGGCCAAACTGTTCAAAGTCAAAATTCGTGTTGGGTGTTTCCGGATAATACTCCGGCGGGAACTCGAAGACCAACGGAGTTCCCGGTGACTTGACCACCGACAGTTGCGTGGGACTTCTCTGGCCTCCGATCGGGATTTGTGGCAACTGCGGTAGCTGACGAGGGCTACGGGGCGACTTCAGGTGTATCGATTGTCCGGGGCTATTAGTCGCCATTTTCGACAGGTAGATGAGAATACACCTTCTTTCTTCCTTTCTACCTGTCGATCGTCTTCTCCCCTATCTTTCTGGGCTCGTCTATTTTAATCTACCAGGGAGAAAAACGAGTCTCTCCCGGGCTCATTGTGCCTCCACGGCGACAATGAAACACGAGACTCTTTGTTGGTCTCGATCACCTCCAGTTCTTTCGCTACAGCGAACCACCAACCGTTTCGAACGGATTCGATTTTCATCTCACTAAGTATTTTTCCTCTCTTCTCTTCGACAATTTGCGCATTTTCTGCCTCTGATTCGAGATGAAGGTAACGGTACACTTGTTGTTTTCGAGGATCTTCGAGTCGATCGATACGTCCGTAAACCTGAAACATAGAGTAACCTCTAATTCAGTTCAATTTTAATTATTCTATTAAGAGTTGAACGATTAAATCGTAATTAGTAATTGAATACCTATTTCAAGATTAAAGTATGAGGTACTACTTCAATTAGCTGAACAAAAATTTAAGCTTGAACACTTAACACATGATTCAATTAAACACTCTTGTAATTGAGGATCGATTTGAAACAACTTCCTATAAACTATGAATATTATACACTTATTTAAACAAGATTAGGAAGAATATTTATTTAATTTGAAAAAGGAACCTTCTTAAGGACAAAGGAAAACAGTGCTGACAACATTACTGGCGAACAAAATTAATATCAACCGCGTGACAGAGTACTTCTGTACTGTAACGAAACCGTGTAAACAGTATAGACCCGTTTCCCTTTCATCTTCGCAAATTAATTCTCGAATAATACGAGACATAGGGACAGGAAATTTCTATGAACCATGCAGTCACTCGAACACTTGTTCGTGAGAAATTAATATTAACTATAACATACTTTATTTCTTTAGTAATATATTTTTGAAGCAGAGTATCTTAAAGATATACAATGTACAGAAATTTCATTATAGAAACAAATTCATCTCTCAAGAATATTAAGAATAAAAGGATTAAAATCTTTGTAGAAGAAATTAAGTGTGGGATGTGGAGCGTGGAGAAATATGAATGAAATACATTAAGGATTAATGCGAAATTCATGTTTAATACCTGTGTTCATTTTTTTCCCTCATATTCGGACGAATAATTCTGCAATCTTTAAATTACTCATTCAGAGATGAATAGAAGAAAGTAATCGAAAATAAGTCGGGTGACTCGAAGACAAAGAATGTTACTACAAACGGTGTTCCATTCATTCGTGTAATAAGTTTTCGTTCTAAAACACGTTTCTAAAGAAATTCTTTCTCCGGTATCCACCTCCTACGTTTATACAAATCTTTTTGCAAGGAAATAATCCTCTGATTTGTTCCTTTTATTCCTTGCATGAATACACTGTTTTAAAAATATGAAATTTCCTCGGCAGAAAAAATCTTGCGAAAACAAGAGGGTCACGATACTTAAACTAAATTAGGAAAACATAAAATACACGTTCATCGAGTAAAATATATGTTCTTCTGCGGTTCGAAGAATGCGTAATAAATAATATGCAAAAAGGTGCATAAGAAATGAATGCATATCAAAGATCAGCGTCTCAGAGCATCGTCGACTCACCAGACTCGTCGAAGAATTAACCTGTTGATCGTGCGAGGAGGATCGCCGCGTTGTTTTGTTTCTTCGACGGTTTCGCGGTGGAAGCAAATAGTTCCATGAGAGAATTACGCTGTCCTCGACGAGGAGGTCGACGGTGTAATCGGCGGACGTGATTTGTGGAAGGAAAACTGTTCGCGATCCGAATAAAGCACGAACGAAGCTACCTCTTCGACAGGGGCTTGCGCGTTACTGAGGGGTTGCAGCGTACGGGCCATCGTTTCCACCCCCGCCAACATCACCCTGCTCCGACTCCCACCTACCAACGTCCCCGGGGCTTTCTTTCTCTTCGCACGTGCCTCTTTGTCAATTCGATCCATTTCTCTCCCGTGCTTCCGCGGGATCTCCTTAGCCTTCCACCTGAGGGTTCAAAGAAATATCGTCCTGTCAGCTTTGACACGAGTGTCGACCCCTCTTAAGTTCCTCCTCGGGTTCACGGCCTTGCTGAATACGCGTTTCGTACACATCGATCACTTTCGATACTCTACTTTCACCATCATGGGCTTTTTTAATTGCTACAACTTTCTCACTTTAGATTTGGAACTTTAAAATATTTTTAGAACTTTGGGCCTTGAACCTCAAATAGTTTGAACAAACCAGAAATGTCTAAACGTTTTGTCATTTGATTTTGGATCTTGAAACAATTACTTCAAGCAGGTTGAAGAAACCAGAAATGTCTGAATGTTTTGTCATTTAATTTTGGATCTTGAAACAACTACCTCAAATAGGTTGAACAAACCAGAAAAGTCTAAACGTTTTGTCATTCAATTTCTCCCAAAAAGCGCAGTAGTTGTTATTTCTAATTTACAGAGGGTTTGTATTTGTCACTTTTGCCGAGCTCCGATTTTATTTGCAAAAGAATATCCATCCACGACGAGCAACAAATGCGAAAGCATACGAGTCGCCATAGTCCCAAGGGAAATTGGATTCCCGTGTAAAACCGCAGACAGCTACCGGCACCACGGTGCTACCTTTAGGGTAATCGACCGTTTGCGAGGACACCGTAAACGTTCACCGAGATTGCGTTTGAATTTGCGTCGTGAAAAGTATCGTTGCACCTGGGGAGCTTGTGGTCAAACTTCGTCAAACACGTTGGACAAGCAAACCCGATACATTGAACTCGTTGATACATAGTATCTAACCACGACAAAGTAACTTTTATGATAAAGAATGTAGCTCCGAATAAAATATTCGTTTAATTAGCTCGGAACTGTAGCCTTCGTTAAATTTCACGTTAGACTAATTTCTTTGACAAATTAAAAAGTTCTTGTAGTGCTAATATTGATTTTACAAATTTTAAATTCAGAAGAAAATTATATACACAAGGAAAACATTTTAAAAAAATATTGATAAAACATGTTTTACATTGCTACTTCATTATCCTCATTTTACAGTATCCATATGAACCATAATAAAGTTAATAAAATTGCATTTAGGTTTCTTACTCTCACAGCACGTTTTTGAGCGTATACCTCTATCGCCATCTAGTGGGAACCGCAGCAAATAATATTATGATTATGGTTAGGTTAAGTAAGGTTAGATACAGGTTAGACTAGAACAGGTCACTAACATTCTTTGCGTTAGGAGCAGTTAGGAGTTAGGAGTATTTTTGTAATCACTTACTGCTGTCCCGCGTTACACGTGGCCGTTTGTTAACTCACAGATTTCTAACATATATAATGGGGAAAGGTCGAAGACATAAGCCGAAAAAAAGTTTTGCTGAGAAACGGCGCGAAAAACAGAAGGTATCATCTTTATTACTATTGAAAACGTGCCGGTTGGTGCGGTTATGTTTACTCTACACTGTCAATCTTTAGTCATTTTGTACAAACAATATGTTATTTGAGTTTTGTTCACTTAAGATATCAAATGTTTATGAATTGTGCAGAAAAAAGATGAATGGAATACTACAATGAGTCAAAGCTATGCAGACATCGTCAGGGAAAATAAGGATTTTGAAAATTATTATAAGACTCAGAAAATTGTTCCTGAAGATCAATGGAATTCGTTTATGTCTACTATGAAGGAGAATCTTCCAGTAGCATTTAGAATCACGGGATCAAAAGGAGAAGCTAGAGTATTGCTTGAAACTATTAAAAGTAACTTTTTCAAGGAGATCTTGAACATGCAAACGAATGAAAGTTCAGATAAAACTGAAGAACCAAAACAGATATTGAAATGCATACCATTTTACCCTGATGAACTTGCTTGGCAATTACAGTTAACTAGAAAAGACATCAGAAGATCAGAAGCGTATTTTAAGTTGCATAATTTTTTAATTGTTGAAACTGATTGTGGAAGTATCAGTAGACAAGAGGTGGTCAGCATGGTACCACCTTTAGTATTAGATGTAAAACCATATCATAAAGTATGTTGATATAATAAAGTTTATCTTAGTAAATCTGTATAAGGAATTTAAAGAAAATTATTGTAAATAGGTCTTAGACATGTGTGCAGCACCAGGATCAAAAACAGCTCAACTGATAGAAATGATACACTCTGAAAATGAAAGTACACTACCAGGTAATCTCATTGAAATACTACATATTTAATCCACTGATGACACAAAGTTTATTTATCAATGTTTCACAGGTGGTTTTGTAATAGCCAATGATCTTGACAATAATCGGTGTTACATGTTGGTGCATCAGGCAAAGAGATTGAACAGTCCTAGTATTTTGATCACAAATTATGATGCCTCTGTATTGCCTAGGTTTACCATTGATAAAACAGATGGTTCCAAACAGACATTAAAGTTAGTAAAAAGTACAATATTCTATAAAAATTGAGTCCACAATGTTCTTGTAATTAACATATTTTTTTTTAACAGATTTGATAGAATACTTGCAGATGTACCATGCAGTGGTGATGGTACCATGAGAAAGAATCCTGATATTTGGTGCAAATGGAGTCCAGCAAATGGTAATCATCTTCATGGGTAAATACGATTTTATATTGAATTATAATTGTCTAATCAATAGCATCAACTTATGTCTGTTTATTCGTAGAATTCAGTATAGGATAGCAAGGAGAGGATTAGAGCTATTAGCAGTTGGAGGGAGGATGGTGTACTCCACTTGCTCACTAAATCCAATTGAAAATGAAGCTGTACTTCATAGACTGCTTCTTGAAACTCAAGATTCCGTGCAATTAGTCGATTGCAGGGATTTAGTACCTGGATTAGTGTGTAATCCAGGTGTGTTATATTTTGCATGATTAAAGTTTATTTTGATATTGTAAAATATTTAATGAAATATTTCTTAGGTGTATCAAGCTGGATACCGGCGTCCAAAAATTTGCAATATTACAAATCCTGGGAAGATGTACCGGAACAGTGGCAGACACAAATTCGACCGCAGATGTTTCCGCCAAAACCGGAGGATGCTTCCAAATTTCACTTGGACCGATGGTAGTATAACAATTAGTTGCTTCCAAAATATGTACTCGATTATTATACTAATTAACGTAATCATTTAGCATAAGAATATTGCCACATCATCAAGATACTGGCGGGTTCTTTGTGGCTATTTTGGAAAAGGTAGCGGAATTACCTTGGGAATCTGAATTGGGTCCAACTAGTGAAACTGTAATTAATTCTAATTCTACAGAAGACAGTACCGAATTGAATTCGGAGCAAGCGAAGACAGAAACTGCAAATAATTCTAATTCTGTAGAAAGCAGTAATGCATTGAATTCAGAACAGCAAACGAAGACAGAAGTTGCAAATGATTCTAACTTAAAAGAAGACGATAATGAAATGAGTTTGGAAGAAGAATCGATAAGAGACTCGCAACTGCGAAAAAGACTACTAGAAGATGAAAACAAACAACGTGATCCCAGAAGAAAACGTAAAAAGTATACGGGATACAAAGAAGATCCGTTTGTATTTTTTAAGGATGATCAGGAAGACGTATGGCTGTCTATTAAGTAAGTTATGCATTTTATTTATTTTGTCAATTTTTTATTCAACGTTGAATGTTTCAGGAAGTTCTATGACATATCGGACGAGTTGGATCCTCGATGTCTTTTAGTGAGGTGTCTTAGCAGGAAGAAAAAAAACATTTATTACACATCACCAGAAATTCGCAACGTTGTAATCTCTAACGAAGGTCACATAAAATTAATAAATACCGGCGTGAAAGCATTTGTACGTTGCGAAAACAAGAACATGGGTTGTCCGTTTAGGCTCGCGCACGAAGGATTGCAATGTATTATTAAGTACATTGGCGATTCTAGGAAAATCAAAGTGACTAAAGACGATCTGACACTGATTCTACAAAACTTCAATCCACACACACCGCCTGAGGTAACAAAACTCGATGCAGGCACTCAAGAACGTTTACGCAATTTTGGTAACATACCTAATACTTTTAAAACGAGCATTTAGATTAAGATTTTATTACAAAAATTTATTCATGGATTGTTGTAGCCGTCGGAAGTTGTATACTTATATACGAGGAAAGCGAAGCAAAACATCCGTATCCATTGAAGTTGCAAATAGTGGGATGGCGAGGAACGATGTCTCTAAAAGCTTATATTTCCAGAAATGATGCAATTCATTACTTACGACTGTTAGGGGTTGACTGTTCGCAATTTGGTAAGTCTTTATGAAATAAATATTTTAATAATAGGATATACAAATTAGTAATTAAAAATTTGTATTTCAGAGAAAAATAAATTTAAAGAAAATCGCGAATCGACAGCCACCGAACTAAACAGCAGCGGAGTTGTTCATAATGTTATCAAAGAAGAAGAAGATAACGCACAGATAGAAGATGAAGCAGAACTCTAAAGTGAAATGAAAGAGGAACACATAATATCGTAATACAACGTACAGTTCCTTTAATATCTATAAATAAATTTTTTATTTTGTTTAAATGTTTAATGACAGTATTCGTCGTCCGAAGAAATGACGAGATGAATGTTATTAGATGTACCACGATGAACACACAGGCCTGCGAGATTTAGAAACAGGAATCAGGGTGCTCATTTTCTACATAATTTTTAATGCTAGATTCGAATCGATTTTTGTTTCTGTTATGTCTCGAAATTTCGCAGATTTGTGTTGTATTGTACAAGAACGAAATAAACCGTTTACACAAGGGAAAAAAGAAGCGACAGTAACATAATGGGAAATACCTTTTTTTACTATTCATTTTCTATGAAATAATTTTATGAAAGTACATATATCTTGTATGTAGTTTGAGCGGCAAATACCCTTTTCTCGTATTATTTTTCGGCCACTAGATCGAGGATACTTTGCTGTGAGGTTATAGTACAAACTTTATTAGAAATATGGCCGGATGCAGAGGAATCATTAATTCTGAAATGGCCGATGCCATAACGATTGATAATGCGTCGTTGAATCGTATTAAACTTCGTGTATCTACTGTACGGTAAAATTGGAAAAGATGAATAACCTTGTCCATTGGTGTAACTAAAACTTTCATCTAGGAAAGAGAGAAGGGTGACAGCATCGTAACACGTTATATCGTTAGACTACTACACGATAATTTGCAACGTGTTACATGGTCACTCCTCACTCTTCACGTTCAGGAACGAGCCAACCTGCATTCTAGGGGATGTTGGCCTCCCTGATCTCTACCTAGTTACGCCAATGTCCTTATAATGGCATTCTTAACCTTGTCGTCGGTATTCGCTTTAATTACATTGCGTAGTAGATGCTCTTGCGATTTTCAATCGAATCGATAACAAGATTCCTAGATCCTAAAGATTAGAGGGTTTTTAAACTTACGCTTAGAAATTCGTTCAACACAGAGATTTCTACTAATGAAGGACGGGTTTTTCTATAAAAAACATTTAAATATAAGTACAAATATGAAAAAACGCTGAAACAGCTCATAACATATAGATAAACTATAAATGAAAACGAAAGAAAAATCTTTTCTAAAACATTACACTCCGAAAAAACTCGAAGTCGACGGTTGATGCTAATAATCCCTACTGGTTGGTGAGGTCATTTTCCCGGCAAGATTTTGAGAATTGGATGGAGACTTCGAACCTAGAGATGAAATCAGTTTGGCATACTATCTACAGTATCTGAACTTATATGACGATCGAACTTACAGGTTTTTCCTAGTTTGTTTCGTGGATTGTTCGTACAAGGATGATCACCCATGAGATGTTCCTTCCATTTGTTCTGATTTACAAGAGTCGAACAGAGTGGACAGCGGTCGTAGCCCTCGATGGGTTCTACAAAGTAATAATTTATAAATCTTTTATTGATAATTGATCCATGTAATGCATACTTGTACACTTGTTGTCTTTCCTATGCTCCTCGAAGGAATGCTCGTTAATCGCTAGTTTGCACGTGTCACATTTGACGTAATTGCTTCGCATATCACATTCGTCTGAAAAGAATATAAGCATTAAGCAAACGAATGAACATTAATTCTGCAAATTTGTGATTTCGAATCATTGCTTACTTAATAAGTGTAAATTCAAATACGAAATTTCTACCACTTGCTTGCACGCCTCGCACTTCGTTAGCATCGGACAACTTTTCCAATAATGAATATTTAATCCCTCCTCGGAATATCCTTGCCCCTTGGAGAGACAGAATATGCATATTCTGTGAAAAGTAAAAAATTGAACTAAAATAACAGAGATTATTTTAAATTTTAAAGTTTGCGAATTCATAAGTAATTCTTACTTATCACCCTTGTGCTCTGTACTATTCTCGGACGGAGATGTTATACTTGTTGAACTTCCGGTGCTAACGACAGGACTAGTTCGCGAAGGAGATTTCGTCAAGTTCGCTACATTATTTTCCGTCGATTTTGTCCGTGTAGGTGTCGTTGTTTTGTGACTGGCTTCCGCTTCCTTTTTCCTCTACAATTCATATTTACATACAATTCACACTTCATATATATTCCTATCAAAGTACCCTTACCTGCAGATCAATGAGATCGAATTCATGAAACAATTGACGGTATAATAAGTTCCTCCTAGTAATATCGTCGTCAGGAGGTAGCTGCTTGCGAACCAACCTAGGGTTCACTTTGTACACAAGTACTAAAATCCTTTCTGAAACTTTCCTCACCGCTTCCGCTGGATGGTGCAACCCCGAAGAACCCAGCTCTGACAACGTTCGACACGTGAGTCCACTACAACAATTACAGTACCTTATCAGAGTAATTGCGTTTTATAGGAGCAATCTTGATACGGAGGGTAGACCTTGCGAGTGACATCGAATTATATCACTTATCTGATACGTCGATTATCACACGCAAAGGTCATGTTACTTTTAAACATGTTACAGAAAAGAAGTACAATGAAATGTTGCTTTGGGTCACCTTTGTTTATCAGTAGAAATCCCGTGGTTCAAAATTAATTGCTCCACCATTTCTAGCCTACTGAGGGCCAGTCTTTGATGCGTACTACTGCTAACGGGTCGTGTCAGATGCACCGGTATGATGTGCAACTCTCTCACGCATTTACAATCCGCCATACTCAGTATCGTGTGCACTGCCATATTATGAATTCTCGGGGTGGTATCGCCTGACTTTGTTAATAATTCCGGTAGTAATCTTTCTACGCTCCTCGCAATTTCCGTTGACGATACTCTTAAAAGGAAAAATGAATTTACTACTAGTTCAGAAGCTTCAGATAAGTATCTTTACCTATCCGTCGCGAATTCCGCGAAGAAAATCCTGATCAACTGCGCTGCCAGGCTGTAGACACTGAAAACTTTGTCTCTGAGAGCTCTGTGCAACAACAAAATGGCTGCTCTCGCCGTTTTATTCGCGGAGTGCTTCGAGACTTCCGGATCGAACGTCTTCAACTCTTCCTTCAACTGCATCAAACCTTCCTCCTTGTCCGTGAACTGTTTCGAGTAGAATTTCTCCACCTAAATCATTCGTTAAACATCAGCATAATTTGCGAGTGGATACAAATAATCGTTCGAAACTTGCATCACCATTTCCATTCCAAAAACGGCTATAGGTAAGGCAGCTTGCTTCTTCTCCCTGTCGTTCAGTTTCGATATCGCCTTCGTTTCCGAATTATCCATGTGACACTCTCTGGTAAACTCGTTCGTGTGCGAGCTGAAATACGGAGCAATGTAATTTGTGTTTACGAAGCAATGCAATTTATTTTTCTTTACTGTCTCAAAGCGGGTATCGTCCTCTCCTCGTAAGCCTCGTAACTGGATCGAAGCGCCGGTCCTGCGGATTTCGTTTTCCTTCTAAGAGATCCTTTGTTGCAGTTATTCTGCCTTTCTATGACACCGTTCGTGGGGCTATCGGTCACTTCTGTGGAATTTAAAATTATTCTGCTCTGACACCGTCTCAAAAATTTTTGGGCCTTTGATCATAGCAGTCGAGGTCCATCAATCAATCGAAAATTTTCGTACCAGGACTATTTGGTTTCTGATGCAAAGGCGAAACAGGTGGTTGATGTGCAGGACCTGTTGGCGATATAGCTCCATCGCGGTTCGGAGGGATCACCAATCTCGGGGGAGATGTGATATCTTCAGGAGCAGCCGTCGCGTTGGAGCTACACGTGTCCACCGAGATGGGTTCCTTTCCTTCCATGGATGACATATTATTTTTCTCCAGTGGCTATTTGCGCGAAATATAAATTATTAGGTGCTTCTCGCAGATTCATGGTACTCCAATATATACACACCCCGTGAAGTTCAAGTAGATCTTGCACCTCCAAGCTTTGGTACACCTGCTGCCTATATTGTTGCGCTTGAGCCTTCTTCGCCTTGGCCTTATCGTAATCTTCCAGAGCTATAGCATATTTTTTCTCCAATTCATACTTTCCGAGACGTTCACCCGCTTTCCTGAGATTCTCCATCGCCACCTTCAACTTGGAAGCGTACTCGAACCTCTCCTCTGCAAATCATATGTGATCAATCCTTGTTTTAGATATACCGTTCATTGATTACCTTCCACAGCCTGCAGTTTCTTCGCCTCCATCTGCCTTATGATCTTCGCGACGTCACGATCAACGTACATCTCGAATGCCAGGTCGTCATATGGAGACGTGTAATGGGGATTGTACGGTGCATCCCCTTGACCAGTCAGCTCTTGTCCATAAGGTTCACCAAGAATATTGATAGCGATAAGACCGACCTAGGAACGATCGTTGATAAAGCACATCACGATGTCATATAAGCATGATCTTCGATCTGTACCTGTTGATAAACATTGTGCGCGTTACTGTGCGGTTTGTGCAGTCTCAATTTCAACGAGACAGCTTCTGTCTCCGGAAGGGCGACGCTTTTCAACTCTCTGCTTTTGTACATGGTCGAGGCATTGTCCGACAACGTGATGTAACCCAAATAACTGAACTCCGTCGTGACGGACGCATTTTCCTCCTTCGACGTCCAAATTTCTAGCTTCTCGGCTGTAAGAATTTCAGAGAATTTGGAGCGTAAAATAAAGGAATGCATAAAGCTTTTCTTGGCATTCAATCTGGGTTTGAATGAGAGGGGTGAAGCGAAGAAGGGTGAAACGAAGTAGCCTCGGGAACTGAGGGCTGCAGCGGCTAATTCGATCTTCGTCATTAAATTGCTATCTACAGAATAGACTTACAATTTTCATAAATTTATTAACGTTGGAAAAAGTTTTACGAGAATTACATTGTCAAATATTTAGACATTTCGAAGGAACGTAGTGTGCAACTTACGAATTAGATATTGATGAGCTAAGACTTGTATCCTTGTGAGCTTCGTCGGCCCGTGAAGACGAAGAATGAGTTCTTGAGGATATGTACATCTTCGCGAACTTTGCCAACCCCTTACCGTCGGTCCATGTATGTTTAGCTCCAACGAAGAGTGCCTGTCCTCCTCGCCTGTAATTTTCAACGATTAACAAATACGTTTCCAAAAATACCAACGAGGTTGCAATAACTTTACAGCGGATTCCCGAGATTCGTCAGAATTTTTTTAAGCACCCTCATTCTTTAAAGTTTTACAATTTTTATCTGCATCGTTTTCGCTTAGCGCAATGCTATCGTTCTCGTTTCTGAACAAAAATGGAGATACCTATGTAATCGATAATGTTTTAATTCTGAAATTATACTTTCACGATGGACCGCGAACACGAGACACCGTCACGCGATGCTTTGATCCCCGACATGCTTTAACGTGACAACGACTGAACGCACATTATCCCGATTAACAGATCTACAAATGAAAAACTATCGAGTTTAATATTTAGTCACGGGATATTATACAAAAATACGCTTTTATCAACTCGGATCAATGATAAATTGCCGTCCGTAACGAGACCCGGTGAAGCACGTGTTGAGTCCTTGCTGTTAATTTGTTTTTCCAAACAACAACCAACAAAAAAAATGGAGCAATTTGCACGTCAAAACGGTATATTGTATAAAAATCGATGTTTGTTCGTGCATAAACTATTACGCGATTTTTCTACCCTTTGAAGAATTTCTTTTGGAACGTCACTCGTGTATGTATTTTTGATCGTAGTCGTTAAATTTGCACAAATATCTCGCACAGCTACGAGGTTATCGGTATTCGATAGATTTCACAGTCACACAATTTGATGTTCTCTTACTGGTTGCGTACACGACGTTGAATCCGATTTTTCGTGGCATGTCGGGGGATGATTCTCTGCCGACGAGATTGACTTACTGAAATGTACGAGGAACCGTGTAAAAAAATAGGGGAGGAGAAAGGGGGGTACGAGAGGAGAAAGATGAACGGAAACGTCAAAATCTGAAAGGCACAGCCATCTGAAAGCTCGATAAGGGGAGCTTGCAAGTTTCACCCCGGCGCGTAGGTAACGCCACTTGCACGTCTGGCCGCGGCGAAGCTTGCGACAGAACTGGCTAACTGCACCCGTTCCGCAAGCGGAAACACTGATCTCGAGACCTCTAGCTCTTTTTTGCTGGTCGGAGAGGAACCATTCTCGTAATTTCAAGCCCTTTCAGTGATAAATCAATTATCGGAAAACGTGCAGCGACGATTAAATACCTTTTTTCTTGCCAGAAAGCTTTTTCTTATTTCGACAGGGTTGCAAAATATTTTTATGCATAATATTGTTCGTTTAAAAATAAATCAAAGTTACGTATTCATCGTACGAAATTTATTTTTCATACTGTCATATAAATTTAGACTTTGTGGTATCGGAGGGTGTACTTTTTTATTCCTCGTTGGTTTCTGTACGTGGCACATTGTGGCACCGTCTTGCATTCTATCCAAGTCGAAATATAGACTGTAATTTCGTAATGGATCAATAAACGGAGGCTGCGTGACGTCAGAGGGTGCGGCGAGGGTGGAATCGCTCGCGAGAATCGTTATATGGTGTTTCGTGTCTCTCATTCACAACCACGTGTGCTCACACGTGCTTCTCTGTTTTTTAAAAAAAGAACAGATGTCTGCTTTTTTCATTTAGTGTAATTATGCGCGTCAATTTGTCCGCTACCAGCGACACACCGGGGAATTGTTCGTCATGAATCATTTTCTTTGTTTAAAATAAGCACTGGCGTCACTAGGTGGGGTTCAAACTGATCTTTATCATTGAACATAAAATACTTTATGCATTTCCAACTTTCGAATTTTTCAAAGTCACTTTGTCGTACTATGTGTGGGGCAGTTACATTATTAATAAAGTTAGGGTACCGGTTGAAGTATGTCAATCAAACTAACATGTAACAAGAAAACATAGTCTTGAACTATTGTAGATTGATCGAGGTATACAAAATGCATTTAATAAAGTTATATATTTATTTAAAAAACGTACAGCAATATACAATTCTTATTTATACATGTATTTATGATACAGGGAATGTTTTGAAATTTTTATTTCGCATCGAATTTATGTAGTAGCGAAAAGATATAGGAGGCCCTTTGCAAACTGGACAATTTCTGAACCCCCCAACTTTGATTCTCCATACACTCGATCAACGAACGTGATGGGAACTTCTCCTATGGTGTACTTCAATTGCCTAGCTCTAACTATCATTTCCATTTGGAAGACGTATCCTTTCGAGACACAGGATTGAATGAGTTTCTCCAACACATCCTTCTTGTATAACCTGCAATACATTACATTAAGTTTATTGAGTACAGCAGCAGTTGTAAGATATATACCTGAAGCTTCCTGTCAGATCGCTAACACCTGGTCTCAGCAAGATTTGAGTCAAGAAGTTAGCTCCTCTACTGATTAATTTCCTTTTGAAATCCCATCCATAAACTCCTCCTCCTTGCGCGTATCTGGTACCAGTAACAATATCTAAATCAAGATACCTCTGCTGCTCTATCATTTTAGGTATAAATTTAGGCTGAAGGAGAAACATATGTAGGTCAGAATGTTGTAACTGTAACAGCTGTTTCAAAAAGAAACTACATACATGATGAGATAAATCTGCATCCATGATAACGATGAAGTTTCCTGTAGCATGTTTAATCCCGTGCATGTAAGCAGTCCCTAATCCAAGCTTCTTTTCCCTCGGTCTCAAAACTATCCTGTTCTCTCCGTACACATTCTGCAGCTGCTTAGCCATATCCAATGTTCCATCTGGAGAACCATCGTCTATCACGATTATCTCATAATCAAGTTTGCTAGAATATTTTCGCTTGACTGAATCTTTCGTAATTCATACTTTTAACATTTAAATTCACCCTACAGGAGCTCATAGTTGAGGTTATGTTGTTGCTCTAGTTACCTCTCGTCCATGTACTTGGTGATGAGCCAGATTATTATCGGCAAATTTTCCACCTCGTTATAAGTGGGAAGTAAAATTGAGTACTTGTCATTTTTGGACAACTCCTTTATGTCCTTTTTCGTTTGTTCCCTTTCGACCATTTTTGACACTAGATTTTGAAACACGAAAACGTCATAGATGGATTCTTCCTTATCGGGCGTCGCACTACCACATGCGGAATTGGACATCAATTCGAAGTCGTACACGTGTGGAAAATTAGAGACCTCATACGGTGAAATCGAGAAACTCTATCAAAGATATCCTTGTTTCTCTTACGGTAAGTGATAAGGACAGCAAGAATTTTGTTATTCGAAAACTTTTGGGAGCAATATTTTACTTTCTTCTTTAAAATATTCTTTGTACAATTAGAGTGCTACAGAACTTGATTTTATATTCGTGTTTTCAAAATTTTATTACCCTCTTTATAAATAATTAATTTTATGACAAATTTTTATTTATAAATGTGCAATTCAATTTCGAATAAAAAATCACTTATTATTCTAGAATATCTCTTTATTTGAATTTTACATTCGCGCTCTTTTGTAAAACTTAAACAATACGATTAACTTTTCCGATAACACGATTTTTGATTAGTAATGGCTTTGAAATTACAATTTCCTTTTCGCATCAGATAACTCTGTTCCACTATAAATCTGCAGATACGGGGTGATTAAACGATGGGTGAGCGGAAACAAATGCGATTAAAATTCCCATTTCGTGCTAAATTTCAATCAAAAGCAATTCCGCTATCCTAAATAAAAGAGCGTACGTGTTAAGCTCGTTGTAAAAAAAGGAAGGCGCGCATGGTTAATCGCCACTGCCTTTCACCATCTCGAAAAAGCTTTGAGGAAGTGAAATTCGGTGTCGTGTGGTCGGGTAAACGCGTGACAATTGCAATTACAGAAGGTACTGTGGAAGTACAGTACAGAGCATGATGAACATCCCCAGCAAAAATTTAGATTAATCTTCTCGTATAAAAATACCGCACAATTTTGTTCAATATTGTTCCATTTACTCACATGTTTTAATTTTATAAAATGCAATCATTGAAGATTGTACTCCTTTTTCTGAGTTCACGATACTTCGAAGATTTGTATTGGAATCATATCGCTGTATAAATATTGGCAGAATTTGGCCTTGAATTATTCAAATCTATAGTGGGGCGTGAATCATGCCAGCAGGATTCAATAATTATTGGAATAAAGAATTCGATGCAAAGATTTGAATGCTAGTAAAATCGGAGTGGCGGGGCGTTCTTCCCCAAAATCGACATTTTCTCTAGAGAAGGCTACCATGCCGGGTGCTGTACACACATAAGCGATATAGGCAGTTCCCTCGGGTGCGACAAAGGTCGACCAACCAGCGTTCCCCAGTACGTACAGAAGCAAGAGAGAAGCACGACGGCGACCCCCCACCGTCGGCTCCGAGATCCCGTGGAGCAGCCGCTGTCCCGAAGCAAACGACGCTCCTCGCTGCACTCTTCGGTCGTCTACGGACCTAGAGTGTTCGTTCTGTTCTTCGGAGCGGTGTGATCAGCGTGTATCTCTGCGATATAATCGACGTGTCTTTGGTACGTAGACCGGTGAGAGAAAAAGTGACTCGCTCGCACGTGTGAGTCACGCTCGGAATCGCCTAACCGAGTAGCCGTCGCGGTCATCCTTGAAAACGCGTAAAAAGGAAAAAAGTCATTGATAGTCGTATTGTGGAGTCGCGAAACTTCTCGTGGGTGTGTACGTGTGTATATACATGTGCTCCTGTGAACACCGGGTGTGAATACCGCGGGTGACCGGCTCTCCTTTGCTGGAGAACCTTCGGATTAGAACGATCGCAACAGTCCGTTGACGTCCACCGATTTTGACAGATTTTCGAATTCCATCGGATTCACTGCTATCGATCATAGTTCGATAGTTGACAAGGCGATTATCGCGTAATAAAAGAGTTATGAATAACCAGACAGCGCGCATTCATTCATGCGGGTGCAGTGTGTATCGGTCGCGTTACTCGTTACTCCAAAACGATCGCGCACAACGGTCGATTCATCGAATATTTTCTTTTCTTGTCGACATGAACGAGAGGCTTGTTTCTCGCGAGAAAGATAAAAGACGTCGGTCCGTGTCGCATGCAAGGGTGTTAACTTCCCATGTTGATGGAGAGTCCTCGTCGATTCGGATGCTCCGATAGCAGTATCTAACAGCGTCGCACGATGAGTTTAACGAACGGAGTTTGTCGGTGAACGTTCGCACCTTTCGAGGAGGGAGGATGTTAGTATTTCTGGTCCAGGTAGAGTAGGCCATGCGGCATTTTCTGGGGGCGGGTTTTCCGGATTTAGCGAAGGCCAACAGAGGAGCAGAGAGTCAGACAGACTGGCGAGCAAGCGGACTGGTTCGGGCAAATAACAGCAAGCATGGCGTACGCTGCACGAGGGGTAGATTGGTCCGCTCCGCACCCTGCGATCAATAAACCCGCCGAGAGGGAGCAGCTCCGTGACGAGCCGCACTACTCCGTGCTTCTGCTTCTCCTCTCTCTTCTCCTCTTCGCTAGTTCTGCTCTCCTACTGGCTCTCCTCTTCCTACCTGACTCATGCTATCAACGATTCAGCACGTGCACGCTGAATCGCCGGCGCTTTTGAAAAACGACAGCCAACGTGTTCCTGGGATTATCATGACCCGGCTGCTAAAGGCTTTGCGCACTTCTTACACTCGTGCATTGATTTGCATTCTTTTTTCGCTTTTTCTACTGCGGGATTCCCAAATTTTCACCGAGATCCATTTTTTCAAATCATCGCTTTTAACGACCCACTTGTTTCAAACACTGAATCGCTGGATACACGATTTTTTTATAGTAGCAACGTACTTAAAGGATTTAATACCGTACTTAAATACTTAATGTACTTAACAGGCTTTTAGAAGTACATTTTTATATTCAGGAGCATTGACTGGTGTTTTATTTCGGGGCAAACAAGAGTGCTACTCCAGATTACTGTTCATAATTTTTCAAACCTGGGGTATTGTGCGGCCCACAAAGTCCCTCAGACCGGCACAAAATCAAGATGGGTACGGTACGTACCACCTGGCTAGTTTTACACGAGCCTTATTAGTAGATGTGACCACTTCGACCATTAATGCGCTACGGCTAGAAAATATGTCTGAATCGGGGCGTGCCCCTTCCTGACCACCCGCCTCGTATTTTTCACGATAGACTTCTTGTGAGACACGCACAAACTTCCTTAAGACAAACTTCCTTAAGAAACTTTCAAAATGTCAATATCGTCTCAACGTTTCAAAATTTCGAAGATTGCAAAATCTTTGTACTGCGAAGTCTCAAAGCTCCGAAAGCCTCAAAATCCCACCGAAAATTTAAACATCTTACTTGCATTTGAACATATAACTCTTAGGTCTGAACTTTGGGAATCTCTTCCGCCCGAGGCGCATTACACGCAGCTTTATCGTGTTTTACTTTATCCTGGTTTCATTCTTATTTTCCTCGCTGATGCAGCTTCCGTATCTTATCGTTGCACGTAGCGTATTGGTCGTATGAGAATGTAAAAACACAGGGAACTATCAAGTACGACCGATGACGTGTACAGCTACCGCTTTCGCAATTTGCATTGGCCTCGGTCATGCATGATTATTTTGAGCTTCAAAACGAAAACCATGAACGTTCGCGAACGTTATCGAGTGAACGAGGACGAGTCGGCCTTGAACCGTACAAAGGTCACTCGATTCGAATATATTCATTGGACGCGTGCGTAGGAGTAACTGCGTGTGTCCTAACTGAGTCAGGAAGCCATTCCGGGAAAACATTTCGGTCGTCGATCATTTTTCTGTCTCGTAAAAGTTCAACGCCACTGTTGCGATCGTTCGAGTTGTCAGGATCGGTGATTCGATTGTTCAGTCGAGTGTTTTTCTGTGAAATCAGGTGAGAATCAGTGCGATCAAGGAAGACAGGATCAGAATGTGGCGTGATCCTCCAGGAGGGGGGTGTAAGATACCCACCTACATCGCAACGATGCTCCTACTGGCTGTCTTGGCATTGACGAACGGTGAGTCAACTGGAAATAACTAGTTCTTTTCTTATGAAAATGTACCGCTACAAAGAACAGATTGAGAGTACGTTCAACGAGTGGAAAACGTGCGTTGCTGCGTTTTATCTTGTCCATCTAATCGCTCCTGCATCGAGAACCTCGTACGACGCGCCGGTGCAAGCTGTGAGGTCAGCAGCTGACGCGGTAACTCGTCTTTCGTTAAACTATCTTCCGGATGACGCGCTCCGAGGATGCACGAGATCAATAGAACCATGGGCAATCTCGGAGAATTTTATAATTGCTATTCAACGATTCTTGCTCGTTGACTTACAAAGGAGCATGAACTTAGTTTCCTTTTTTAACTGTTAACTAACAGTTGCTCAAGATTTTACAACGAAACATTGCGCGATGTTTTAGAACGAGTAGCATTTTACAGATACATTCGTTACTTAACGTTTGCTCCCGATAATCAATTACGAATGTAACGATAAAATTAATTGCTCGACTCTGTCATTGCTCACGCACGACACGCGTTGTATAACTGCATTGTATAACCTTGCGTGTAGGTTTTTGTAGGTTGGCTAGGAAAGTGAAATCATCGTATTCCGAGCAATTGCAACTGCACGTATAAACAATTACGCGTTCTAATGAAACTTGTATACTCTCCAACTTTCTAAGCGTGTTTGCACTCTCTCGAGATCCACATAGTCCTTAATAGAATAGCGAGTCCCAGCGGCCGCCGCGTCTCCTAAGGTTGACATTTCGTGCAATTTGGGGAACAATTTTGATCCCGGTGGAAATGGACGGTTCGTTGTTGTCGATGCAATCTCGCGTTGGTTCATTTCGAATCCGTCAGCCCGTGAAAGGTCCACGAGGCGTAGGTAGGTTGAAACGGAGCACGGTGTGCAGCTGCCGAAGAAAAGGCCAAGAAAGAGCAGGGGGAGAGAGGAAACCGAGGGAAAGGAACAGCTGCTGTTCCCAGAACGGATGCCCGTGTCTGAAAGAGAATCGTATTTTCTCGGTGCACCGTGCCTCGCCAGGTGAATCCTTTGATTTTTGCCTTCCTCTCGAAATACACGAGACTTTCGATGAATAATGTATTCGTTTTAATCGACATCATGAATGGTGAACGCAAATTCTCTTTCACTGCTGCAGTGAAAATTATTGACACTTTGATCGCTGATGCGAAGAATACATTCGTCAATTTGACGCTTTTTCACATAACCTCGATCAATATATTTCAGACTCCCTTAATATTTAAATGTTAAGAAAGATTGATTATCGACTGATCGTGAAAATCTTGATCACTTAAGATCCATCTGCCTTGAATTTATTCGATCGTAAAGCAGCTTTTCACAAACTGTAAGTAACGGGAAAAAATAGACGTCCAAAGGTTGCGTTCTCCGCTGGAGCAAAAGTCCTCCACGTAAAAGAGTCCAGGTTTAAAAATAGATCCCAACTAAATCGAACAAACCGACGAGACTCGTACTTGACCCAAAACACAGAATGCAGGGACTGCGTTGAATTTCCGGCCGTATGAATATTTCCGTCCTCTCCGTTTTAATCGATAACATTTCTTACCAGCTTTATCATTCGAACGCGGGATGAAAGGCGATCAGACCTTCGTTAATTGATATTCACGACCACTGGTAAGCTTCCGGATAAAGCGCGAAAACACGAGGATCGATCGCAATTTCGCGTGCACTGCTCACAGAAACGCCTCCGCTGCGTGTTATTCGTTGAATGAACGAGCTTGTTCATTAACATCGACACGGATGCAAAACGCCGGGAGAGAAAGGAGCCGCGGAAACATTGATCGATGACCCGATAAGTCCGGCTCTCTGAAGTTGTTTTTCGTAAAGTTACGCGTCCGCGATCAAAGACGGGATTCCTCGCGGTCGATAACCGCTCTGTAATCTATATATAGGCAAGCTTCGAAACGTCCGGACACGCTGCATCGAATATATTTCCAGCAACGATAGAACGCGCGTACGCGGCCATATAATGTGCGTACCCGAAGCGTGTACGTGTACATAATACACGCGTTCACAGGACGAAAACGTGCGTAGAAGTGACTCACGCACGATTCACGTTACGTAGGGACTCGAAGGATCGTGACGGCCATAACGATTAGACTTCTGAAAAGATGGGAGCCTTCGGACCCCTCGAATCGGTTGGAATCCGCGTTTATGATCGGGAAGTGGGTCAGCAGATATAGGGACTAGATAGATGGGCAGGATATTCTGATATCGACTGATATTATCGGAACATTCATGTGGAAAAGTTCACGTTTATAAAAGTGAAAATTCATCGACTAAATATCAACAAGTGGGACGAGGATTCTTCCCCCTATTTTGTAGCGAACACGTGCTACAAGTTGCAAAATCAAATTGTAGCTAATGGACGTTGCAGAGAATACTAAATCGAAAGGTTGCACATCAAAGTGACGAATGAGTGACGTCGATCGTTCAGGTGTTAATCGACTTTCGACGACGTGTACGTATGTTCGATTGTAATTAAATTCACGCCGTGCTCGATGGCAAGGAACAAAGCAAGGCTAGACGCGCCAAAGAAAGCGAGAAGAGAGGAGTACGACGAAAGTTCGGAACACCTGTTCACTGTACCTGCACGCCTTCTGCCGTTCTTTCGGCCTCCGTACGTTTTTAGTAACCGGTTCTTCGTGACTCGGATTTTATAGCGAGCCGCGTTTATCCGTTCTCGTCGCGCCGTAACCGCGAGTTAAGCCGGTAGGCGGTTACACGGCTTGGAAAGTGGCACACGGAACTCTTGTATAATCGTAAACATGCGTGAACTTGTGTTCGCGGTTGAAAATTGTATCGGCGAAGGGCTTCCGCCAACTCGAGCGGAAATAATAAAATCTATCTCCGTTCGCTGGAAACTTCTATTCCATGCGAAGTCGATATTCCCGAGAGACTTCGCGTTTGATAAGAAAATCGAGTCTTGTTCGAGACAGCGCGTCTCAAAAAATTGATAAAAACTTCTCGAGTTGTTCGAGTCCACAAAAGGCGTCGGTACAGATATGCTCGGGCAGGAATTTCAATCAGAGATCACGTTCGAATCACGAACTGTTCGTGCATCGGTGGATGCGGCAAGGAGCACCGCTCCCGTCGACGGAAAAGGAATCACGCATTGTCGTCTCCCTTATGGTCACGTGACGTTGATAGCATATTATTCAATAGCAGAGACCGGCAACCTGTTGTTTGCTGCAATTGGCGACGCGCCAATTGAACGTGGGTGTCGCGTATCCTGGTGGAGACCGATGATAAGCGAAACCAAAAGACACGCAACAAAAGTCCCTTTGCCGGAGACAGCTCCGACTAATTAAATCTCTTAACGTTGGTCAGCTAGCTGACACCGCCAGAAGAAACTGCCGATCGAATACAACGGTTCGTTTTCCCTTTTTCACAGTGGCTTGCGCTGAGGATGAATCCATGGGACCGGTATTTGTCAAGGAACCACCAAACCGAGTTGACTTCTCTAACGGAACCGGTGCTGTCGTCGAATGCCAGGCTAGAGGAAACCCCCAACCGGATATCATTTGGGTTCGTGCTGACGGAAGTGCTGTTGGAGATGTTCCTGGACTCAGACAGGTGACTACTTTCGACACTCGTTTAATGAACCTCGGTCCGAGCTGTCATGGAGCACATTCATCTATAATTTTATTATGAATATTTCAATTCATATGGTAGATTCTTGCTAGACTTTTGCCTCACAGAAAGTGGGATAATTTATCGGGACCCATTTGTTCACAATTATTAAACACTGCAATTCCCAAGTAAATGTAAAAATAGACGTTCAACGTCGGATTACGTAGTTTCAGAGAAATAATTAAAATCGTATGATTGGTAATTTTGTCATCGGACTGCACTTCCCACGTGTCGTTACCGGTGCAACGATCTTACGTCAGTCAGAGAAGGCTGAATTAATTGACGCCTTATTGGAACGTTTCGTTAATAAAAATTGCACGGTTCTAGGTCTTGCCGAACGGAAACCTGGTGTTCCCACCCTTCCGTGCCGAGGATTACCGTCAAGAGGTTCATGCTCAGGTTTACAGCTGTCTGGCGCGTTCTCCTGCAGGTTCAGTTCACAGCCGAGATGTTAACGTGAGAGCCGGTAAGTGGTTATGCTCTTGTATTTCAAAACTGCGCGAAACGATTACCGTTGCCTGGCCATCTGTTGTTTTTCGATCCAGATAAGTTAATTCGAGCGAAACTGAATTTTGATAGGTCGCCTTGACATTCTTGAAACTTAAGCAGAATACTCTTAGAATAACTTCCTTCATTTTTAAAGTATTTTACCACATGATGTTAAAGATAGCTTAAAATCACCTGACATAAAATTTTCAATTTTATCTATTTATAATTTCTTAAAATCATACATCACACCAGTCAATTAAAGTCTATAAAATTGATCAAGAGCTTAAATAGTTACGGTATTTAAAGATTGGCCAGGCACGGATTTAAGACGATTTCTTTCCAGCTCGAAGCCGCGAATGTCTTCGAACATTAGTGGGTCAGTTCGTTACTCGTCGCGATACGCGTGAACACAGGATATCGGTGGCAATTATTACGATTTCCTCGAACTTACGGGTAAAACTAGACCAGGATTTCCATAACGAGTAATCGCTGCCGCCGCCGTTGTTCGCGTAAACAATCGTTGTTTTCCAATCTCCGTCCATTCGTCGAAACCGTGATATTCGGCTCGCAATTATTCTCGAAATTTTTAATCCTTGATCGAGCACCGTAATTGCTGCCAACATACGTCGTTGACCCGGTGTAGTTGTTACTTGACCCAGTTGAACCAGTTCCAGCTAAAATTCCCCCGGTGAAAAATCATGACCGCTTCGGGTAAAAAACGAGGGAGAAAAGTATTTTTATCCGAACATTACACGCCTCTTTTATTTCAATTAATTAAGCAAAACGCGTCGAAATATTTTCTCATTCAGCACAGACTTTCATAACAGAGTAACTTTTTTTAACTTTGGATTAAACGATTCGAGTTATTTCGAGGGTTTGTACTATTTGGATTAATTTATGTGGTTTTAACGAAAAGTTGGAGATTGGAGAGTAACATATTTTGCTAACGTGTGTATTTAAACGACGATCACCAGTGGTGGCACAGTACTACGACACAGACGTCAACAAGGAGTACGCGATTCGTGGAAACAGTGCCATTTTGAAGTGCGTCGTTCCATCCTTTGTCGCCGATTTCGTGAAGGTTTTGTCCTGGCATACCAACGAAGGGGAAGAATTCGTACCTGGCGATGATTACGGTACACTTAACGAACGTCGAAAATGTCCCGATTCAAACGTACAATCGTCTAACGAGCAAATCGTCGCGTTACAGTCGTCTCGCGTACAACGCAACGCGAAATTGAATCTTGCGAACCGCATCGAACGAGCACGCGAGGAAGGAAACGTCTGTCGTGTCGAACATTTGCGTGTATAACGTTTATTGATGCATATTGAGGCCGCGTGTAATGCATCGAAGCAATTGTCACGACATGCAACGAGCCGCGAATTCATATGAAATGGAGCAATGGACCGAAAGCGTGGGTCACTCGTGATTGATGTGCGTCTACAGGGTGTTTAATAAAAAAAAAAAATAGCAAGAAACTAGTCACTGTAATATAAAAGCAAAGTTTCAAAAGTCTGTCTCGAATTTGAGAGATTCCAAAGTACCAAATTCTTACTTTCGAAATGTGAAAGTCCTTTAGAAGTTCGTAACACGGTACTACAAAGTTATAAAAAGCAGAATACTTTCTATGGACATCAAAGAAAGAACTCTTGTATTTCAGTGCTTCGTAGAACTAAGAAAGTTTCTTTGACGACGTTCATTTTTCAACCTACATCGGGGATTTTCTTCGCCGATTACTTAGCTCGATCTTCGAGAAGATTTCTCGGAAAAAACACCCTGTGGATGCGCGAACATCGTCACTCATCTCGTTAGCGATGTTCCCAGCTCGTTGCCTTTACCGGGGAGCGTAGTGGCCCAAATAATTGGAGCGCATCGTCGACATCGACGTCGACGTCAGACGTTTCTCCTCGCGTCTCTCTCTACTTCGCTCTCTTTCACGTTTCTCGCACATGCGTAGAAACGTACGTGCATACACTCATGATGGCACACGAGTCATAGCCAGGCGTGCACCGATCGTTTGCCATCGTGTCGACGCGTTCCTCCTGGATGCAACCTTTTCTAAGCTCGCGACTGCGGCGTAAGATGCGACCTAGCGAATCGATCTGCTCGAAGGGCGACGACGAATAAGTCACCGGAGAAGCTGTCGTCAACGTCGTCCGAACTGTTCTTCGTTCCACAGAGTTTTGTTTTCGAAAATCGACGATGGGCATACAATGGCTTACTGATCGATAATGCCACGGGTATACACGTATTTCGTGTTACACAGCTGGTGCATGCAATTTATGATAATCGCGGCGGACATTAACGCTTTGATGCCCGAGCTGCGGGTACATATGCTCACTAGTTTTTATCGGAAAGCACACTGGCATAACTAGGATTTTTGTTAGGGGTGGGCACATTCAATTGATTAATAATCGACGTCCAATATTAAGTACCATCAATTGATTTCTGAAAATTTGACAATGTCAGTATTTGAGAATTTAGACACTTTATTGTTAGATAGCTTTGGAAATTTTTTGTGTCTTGAAGATTTAATTTGACGATTGAATAATTAAAATTTTAGAAGCATCTCAGTCCACAATGTTATGTTCGAGTGATCGCAATCTCAGCCTAGTTACGCCAGTGATGTGTGACAATTACCAATTGCAATTTGAAAAAGGGTAATTTTATCTGTCGAATACAATGCTATCAGTAGCCGCTATTTAGCCGTTAAAAGGTTAAATAGAATTACAGAGGCCGCAGATTCCGCGAAGCTCGCGGTCGTCAAAGCGTTAAGCGGTAATTGGCGCGAGTGGACTCGCATCGCTTAGAACCGCGACCGATTATCAGCGTTTATGTGTATTGTAGTGGTGCACCAGTATTATCAGTCCGAAGTCAACAACGAATACGTGATACGCGGCAACGCGGCTATTCTAAAGTGCAGCATACCCAGCTTCGTCGCGGAGTTTGTTCAAGTGGTTGGTTGGCAGGACGACCAAGGAAACTCTTTTAATCCGGACGAAAAGAACGGTAGGGTAGGGCGGGAAGTTTCAAAGTTTTCGATAAAGGCGAGTTCAACGTTGGTCAACGTCGTATGACACTCGAGACGGTTGTCTTTGATCGTAGAGGGGTGCCGAACCATTGAGTTTTTCACGCCAGCGAAAAAGTTTCTCTCGAATTACCGGTCTTGCTAGGTTACGTAACTAATTGCACAGGGGTTGAAGACCGTGATTTTCAATTCTAATTTTTTGAAATTGAACACGTTATGGATGTACAAGTTTCCTTCGTTTTGAAGAAGTATTTTCGATGTTCCAAAATGATTTTGTGTAAAATATACTTGCAAAGGATACGTAACAAACCGTATCCGATTTTAGTAGCCAGCTCATCATAAGTTTTACACCGGTTATTAATAGCAAGTGTGAAAACGGTTTCAACCCCTGTATTACATAACTTGTATATGAAACGCTGATGATTCCCGTAGTCGTGACTCAATACTACGAAGCGGAGGTCGTGTCCGAATACGTGATACGCGGAAACGCCGCCATCTTGAAATGCACCATACCCAGCTTCGTCGCGGAATTCGTGTCGGTAGATGCCTGGGTTGGAAGCGACGGTTCGACCTTCAAGCCGTCCAACGACTACGGTACACGCATTCATTCGTTCCCGTCCTTTTTTCTCTTTCCCCCCATCCCTTTTTGCTCCATCCGACAACGATTATTGGCCACCAGCTTCCAGAATCCTCGACTCGGGTCGAGTTTTTTCCTTGGATCGTACCCCGGTTCCCTGGCAACCTTGCCGAGAGTTCAAAGTGGCACGTGGTAACGATTCGTTTCCGGCGCGGACCAGTCTGGTGGCAGTTGAACGGCGGCGGCAACGCGAGGGTTAATGAACCATCCACGGTGGCTCTCACGCTGGGATTAGATGGCTCTCCTAAGAAAATAAACCAACTCGATTACGTCCGCTAGAAATCGCGTGAAAATCTCGATGCTGGACGCGGGACGTTTAATCGAATTCTTCCTGCTCGTTTCGTGGGAATTCGACGATCTCGGGCTATAAATTGGGGGATGAACACTCCAGCATTTGACGTATTCGATCAATTCCGATTACTCGAAGCGTTCGAATAATAATGGGATACGAAGATCGAAATTCGAAGCGTATCGATCGTAGTTTAAATATCGAGTCGATTCTCGAGATGAAGTTTCGAGGAGATAGTTGCCTGTTGTTTTCCGCGCAGTCGTCACGCAGCCGTATCAACCCGAAATTCTCACGGAATACGTGATCAGGGGTAACAGCGCGATCTTGAAGTGCAGCATCCCAAGTTACATCGCGGAGTTCGTTACGGTCGAGGCATGGATCAGAGAGGACGGAGAAGTCTATCTTCCGGAAGATCCTGCTGTCGGGCAGGGTACTGTGCCCGGGATTCCACTTAATCGGGGCTAGACACGCCTTACGGTTAATTCCCTCGTCACCAAGCAACAGCATAAAGTCCGCGGAAACTTTACCCCTCGTCGGAATTAATCCGATGGCTATTTCCTTCTGAACTTCGTTTCTAATTAGTTTCTGGCGGGAAAACCTTTGAGAATAGATTCTTTGTGAATAGTCAAGAATAGATTCTTGTTTCTCACAGTATTTTAAATAATTTAATAAGGAAATTGTACATGGTATTCACAGTTAACTTGAAAGCTTACCAGAGGATATAATAACCCTAAGGCGTGTCATCGGGTGCTATGTATCTGGTAACTGAGTGGATGTAGATCGCATAATTGATCAGTGGATGATTTTTAACCGGTGTATCCTGGTTGTGCCCGCGCGGGCAGTCGTTTCGCAGTTCTTCGTGACCGAGGCGGAGAACGAGTACGTGATACGAGCAAACAGCGCGATCATGAAATGCAAAATACCGAGTTTCGTGTCCGAGTTCGTGTATGTGGATCAATGGGTGGCCGACGATGGAACGGTATACACGACCGGGGATGATTACGGTAGGCGACGAGCACGAAATCGTAGCTGCGTTTCCTCTTCACGATGCTTTCATTTCCTTTTCCCCGAACGAATCGACTATCCGGGACCGGAATCGCTCGCGACGCTAATTTAACGTTCCTCCGACGCGTTTCGTCGACAAATGTTTCTGTGGCGTTTCGTGTCGCGACATCTTCTGGGAGAATGCGCGTTGCAGTGGTCCAGCAGTTCTACGAGACGAGGGTCATCGACGAGTTCGTCTTGCGCGGCAACACGGCAACCTTGAAGTGCCTTGTACCGAGCTTTGTGGCGGATTTCGTAGACGTGATCGAGTGGTTGGCTGTCGAGGACGGGTCCACGTACACCGCGAACGGCCAAGAAGAAAAGGGTACTTTTTCGTTGAAAAAGGGGGAGGATATTTAGCGAGGCTGCGATGAGCACGGCTTTAACCCTTCCTACAATCTATGTATAGGTTCCATTGAAATTCGTCGTGGACTAAACTGTTTACGCATGCTTTCTACACTCTCAAATTTTTAACATCTTCCTATTCAATTATTCATTCAATATCAATTTACACCTAGCTATAATTTCGCGATAACATCGAGGTAGAATTTAGACTCATTGCATAACGTTACTGTTTATCTCCTCTGACACTTGTCAAAAATAATCACAACGATTTGGAACTAATTATCTACTAATCGACGCAGAACAACTGTGAGCACGACAACAGATGTTCTGTCACAAAAAAATATTCGGTCCTCTCTAAAGCAGTCTGATATGATTTCCGACGAAAGAAACGTATTTCGAGTTTGTCCGGTCCGTTTATCGAAAACGGTCTCCGCATAACGCGACCGTTAGCCGCCTACGTTTAATTTCCAGCCAACAAGTCCTGCCGGCATTTTAATGGAATTAATAAATGGAATTACCAGCGTGCTCATCCCTCGCGCGAACAGACGGGCCTCGGCTCGCTCGCTTTGACGCTCGACGCCGGCGTCCGTATTGTTCTCTCGCTCTCAGGGTGTACAGGATATGCTCGTAGCACGGTGAAGGAGAGAGGTGGCCTGATAGAGTGGAACGTGCAATTTGCTCGCCTATGAAAATGTTTGCCCTTTCCGTTTGCACGCCGATGCAAGATCGGCGCAGCGCGGCAGAGCGTGCGGCTGGCAGTGGCCTCGTTCCTCTTCGCGATTAGGTTAAAAGTCGGGGTTAATCGTGTCGCGGTGGGAATTAATGTGACCGCGAATAACTTGAGAGTCCGTTCTCGTTCGGCTATCGATCGTTCCTAGGTAATACGGGCTAATGGAATTTATTTCACGGTCGATTAGGCCATAGCTACCGAGATACCGGAAGACTCGACAGGTTGGCCCATAACTAAAAACTTCGATCGATTCGCGTGTGAATTAAATTTCCTTTTATTCTTCTTCCTGCTGTTATGATGGATCTTCAATCTTTTCGTAGTTATAATCTCTGTTCCATTATCAAGAATATCTTTTAAAGTATGATCTTAGTAGATGATCCAATCGTGGGGCATTAAGTTAGGAAATGTTCTCATAAACGGATAATGTGATTCTTCTGGATATTTCATTCTTTATTTTTACATATACGAGTTTCAAATATGACTCATAACTTTTGAAATGCCACAACTGCGTAAAACACGTATTCATCGAGCAAGGTATACACATTATGTGTTGCATTACTAGCATACAAATGCTATCATGTTAAATATAATATATAAAAAGAATATCACGTACATTCGAGTGAACATGAAAGGTACCCGAGCTTCCGGGCCTCACGAATTCGTTGCCTTCAATCCTTTTCATTTTCATATCTTTCTCTCGACGAGCGTGTTTCACGTATCGTTACATCGAGGTCATTTCGTGGCACGATTAAGAGTAATAAAACAGAGCTCGGATGTATTTTTCCTCAAATATTTGCCCTCGGATGTGGAGCGGCCGAACGAACAGGCGTAGAACGCGGAGGAAAACGGGGTCGTCGGCGGTACGGTTCGTGATTTCGGATTAGATTAAGCCGGACTAATCAAACCGACGAGGAAATTGATGTCCGCTGGCTAGCCTAATTTCCATCGGTGCAAAGAGAGCGTCGCGGCGTCGCTCGCGTTTGCAGAGTCGCGGTTCATTGAAATTTCAATCTAGCCGGATCAAAGCCCGCGTCCACCGGCCGCGCAACCTCTCGACAAGCTGTCCTTGTTTTTTTCTGTGTTCGCTTTATTGCAGTGGTCGCCCAATACTTTGAAGTTCAGGTTTACGATCAATTCGCGATTCGCGGCAACGCGGCGATTTTCAAGTGTCAAGTTCCCTCGATTAGGTTAAAAGTCGGGGTTAATCGTGTCGCGGTGGGAATTAATGTGACCGCGAATAACTTGAGAGTCCGTTCTCGTTCGGCTATCGATCGTTCCTAGGTAATACGGGCTAATGGAATTTATTTCACGGTCGATTAGGCCATAGCTACCGAGATACCGGAAGACTCGACAGGTTGGCCCATAACTAAAAACTTCGATCGATTCGCGTGTGAATTAAATTTCCTTTTATTCTTCTTCCTGCTGTTATGATGGATCTTCAATCTTTTCGTAGTTATAATCTCTGTTCCATTATCAAGAATATCTTTTAAAGTATGATCTTAGTAGATGATCCAATCGTGGGGCATTAAGTTAGGAAATGTTCTCATAAACGGATAATGTGATTCTTCTGGATATTTCATTCTTTATTTTTACATATACGAGTTTCAAATATGACTCATAACTTTTGAAATGCCACAACTGCGTAAAACACGTATTCATCGAGCAAGGTATACACATTATGTGTTGCATTACTAGCATACAAATGCTATCATGTTAAATATAATATATAAAAAGAATATCACGTACATTCGAGTGAACATGAAAGGTACCCGAGCTTCCGGGCCTCACGAATTCGTTGCCTTCAATCCTTTTCATTTTCATATCTTTCTCTCGACGAGCGTGTTTCACGTATCGTTACATCGAGGTCATTTCGTGGCACGATTAAGAGTAATAAAACAGAGCTCGGATGTATTTTTCCTCAAATATTTGCCCTCGGATGTGGAGCGGCCGAACGAACAGGCGTAGAACGCGGAGGAAAACGGGGTCGTCGGCGGTACGGTTCGTGATTTCGGATTAGATTAAGCCGGACTAATCAAACCGACGAGGAAATTGATGTCCGCTGGCTAGCCTAATTTCCATCGGTGCAAAGAGAGCGTCGCGGCGTCGCTCGCGTTTGCAGAGTCGCGGTTCATTGAAATTTCAATCTAGCCGGATCAAAGCCCGCGTCCACCGGCCGCGCAACCTCTCGACAAGCTGTCCTTGTTTTTTTCTGTGTTCGCTTTATTGCAGTGGTCGCCCAATACTTTGAAGTTCAGGTTTACGATCAATTCGCGATTCGCGGCAACGCGGCGATTTTCAAGTGTCAAGTTCCCTCGTTCGTCGCCGACCACGTGGACGTGGTAGGATGGATCGATTCGAACGGCGGCAGTTACGTGGCCGATGGACAATCATACGGTATCAATCAGCATGGAGCACGGACAGAAATTTCTCCTAGGCGCGAACCATTTATTCGCACGCTATGGCGACGGTAGAGACACCCATCGATTTTTCCCTTTACCTCGACGGGCGTTCGTTTCCGGTGCATTCCATCTTGATCGCGATTCGAGTGCTGCTTAAACCCTTCACTATGATAATTACTGATCGCAGAACACATAGTACACGTGTAATTACAAGCTTTCACATAATTAAATTTTTCGTGATACTCAGATTTTAACCCCTTGCATTATTTTGATGAGTCTGACGCACTCAAACTTCGGCCGTGATCAATTTTGTTCAAATTTTGAATACGCTTCAGTTTGGAGTTCAAGTCCAATTATAATTTACGTAGTCAACAGTTGAATAAGAACATATTCAATTTTTTGTCTGTTTTAATATTGTAGCTATAATTAGGCAGTTTTGACTGACGCACCCGACAAATAGTGCAAGGGGTTAATCAGTAATTCTCCAGTTATGAAAATGAAAAGTCGACAATTCCAAAGCTCAAATATTGCCAGTAAACACGGAAAGATTTTCGGCTGCATCACAGCGAAAGGGTTGATCCGCCGCTGGCCTAAATAGTCCGCGATCGACTCGTACGGCTTCGATTCAGAGTTGATCGACCCTATCGAACCACCGCCACCTTTTTTTCTTCTCCGTCTCCGAAGCTAGAATCGCGGTAATTTTCGAACGCTCGTCGGGGCGATCGGTCGCGACACCACGGATACGAGGCTGTATGTTGATGTGCGGCTTATGGTAAAACCGGAAACCGGTGTCTGGTTGCAGTTGTCGGGCAGCGGTATGCAGTGAACGTGATGGACGAACACGTCCTTCGGGGGAACGCCGCAATTATCAAGTGTCACATACCGAGCTTCGTCGCCGAATTCGTCGAGGTTGACTCTTGGATCGAAGACGAGACCACTGAAATTTATCCTAGCACCGACTACGGTACACGCGCTAAGTGCACGAACATAAAGAAGTCAAGTATTAGTCCGTTAACTATGGAACTTGACAGGAACGACAGAACGTAAACTTCCTCATTTTGTCGAGGAACGTTTTCACCAGCTGTGACGAGGACACAGCTCCAACCAGTGTGATTTATGAAGTATGGAGCTGTGTCAGACTTCGCCTTACGAAAGGACCATTTTCTCTTTTGGAATAAGTTTGTGGCTTTGGTAGTGAATTTACGAAATAGTGTTCGCAAGGTGCCTAACATAATTCCACAATAATGGATCAAGAAATATAATAAACATATTGTGAGAGACATAGAAGCTGTAATGAAGCAGAGTGTAATGTAACTTGCAATTTGTAACGGGGCAATAAATGTGAAAGTTTGCGTTCGAGCATAAGTCAAGTTTCATACTTAAGGAGCTAATAAAAATGGAACGTTTTGCTCTCTTTTGATCCACGCTGTGATCGCGTGTCGCGACACATTTCCTTCTCGCGGGCCCGAAGCGTGACTTTTTTATGGCTCCATTTAGTCTTCGCACGCGGAAAAACGGACAGTCATGCGATTTTTCTTTGGCTCGTTCGCGGAGACGAGCGTTTCCCTCGGGCAACGTCCAATAACGAGCGATATCCTCTGCGATCTTGCGTCGCGTTCGAGCAGAAATCGCGGCGAAAGGAAGCACGCAACAGGTACGATCGTCATTGTGCATCGCGATCGCGGGAGAAGCCGGGGAAACGGAAATTGGCGAGTGCGTGTAGGATGCGGTAAATTACGAGGGAAGAAACATCAAGCAGGATATCGAGACTCGACGAACAAAAGAGTTATTTCTCCGGAGCGTACCGTCGGCCTCCCATTCGCGAGTCTCGATCACGTGTACGAAGATATGGCGTTTCAGATGAGACGGTTCGAATGCCCGGATGCCCCTCGTTTCGAAAATTATTCTTGAAATTTGTTCGTACGACGTTGACTGCCGCTGCTCGCGCTGTCCCAGACTTCCTCCCCTTTTTCCTTCATTTTCTCAGAGTTCCAACTCTTCGTACCTCTTTCTTTTTCTGTGTGCTTTAGTGTCGAGTGCATGTGTAGGGATGGGATCAAGCTTTATATCAGATTCTTATATTATCGCAAGATTATTTTGAAGTTTACGGTGTTTGTAAGTGTCGAGATTGTTTGGCAACTCGTGTGTTCTTTCATGTCAGACGCCATGTTCATTTTCACCGGCGTACGAGAAATATAAGTTAGTAAGAATATTTTAATTTTATGACTCCGTATTATCGGTTTTTTACTCAGTTTATTTTTTCAGCTTCTTGTAAATGTTTATCTAATCGCTTAAGGACATACATGTGTCCCTGAAGAGATCAGGTAAACTTGTATCCATCAGCGGCGAACACCGTGATCAATTTACACAGTTACACGGAAGGCAATTTCTGATTGATCTATTCATTCTTATCTATTTAAACTGTAAACCTATCTATTTAAACAATTTCTAAATTGTCCATAAGTGCATCCATCTCGATCAAGACATTGAATTACAATTTTTTTAAAAATGTTCATAAATTGTTTTCTGAATTTATCGAGTACTTGCATCCCATCTCTACCGTTGTAACGCTTGTAGTTGTTTCGCTGCATGCAAGCTGGTTCGTCAGTTATTTAGTAACCGGAAGAAGTCATCCGGAGGAATGCAACGTGAGGCGATTGGCAATTTTAACGTGTCTACAGGAAGAGACGGATTACATTGTAGAATCTCGCTAATTCCTCCGTCAAATAGTTTACAATTTAATCGGTAGAGGATTAAATTCTCCAAACAGAATATATTCGGTCTAATTTTTTTCGGGCATCCCGAAGGAACAATGCAAATTCGATATTCCTTCGGTGTTTGACGAGCCGGCTTGAATTCCCAAACGATTCGTCGAACGATGAAAGCACGAGATAGATAAAGAGTCCGTGGCTATTCAACGTTCAACGAACTTGGCCAAGGTAGTAAAAGGTAATGGAGTGCATGCGGGCCAATGTATTAATCAAGACGGCATTGTACTCGTCTATATGCACACGTGTGCACCGATCGAGGACGAGTACCGTGTGGTCGTCGGGATAATTGAATATTTCTCTGATTGCCATAGCCAGATCGGTTACCAACCGTTAAAATATCGCTCCGTATTAAATTGTTCCAATATACTGGCTCGATGGCTCGGCAAGTCAATTATCCCTGGTTAGAAAGCTACCACCGGACCAATCAACGGAGTCGATTAATCTGTATACTTTTGCTCCGTGACCTGGTCACGCGAACAGATGGAAAATACCTGGTTTTGCCGTCTGGAGAACTGCACATCCGCGATGTTGGACCTGAAGATGGATACAAGACCTACCAATGCAGAACCAAGCATAGACTCACCGGCGAAACCAGACTGTCAGCTACTAAGGGACGACTCGTCATTACCGGTAAGTGAGAGCATCGAGCATTTTCATCTTGATCGAAGTCACGATTCTGATTACTTCGATCTTTTATACGGATGTCAAAATAGTTCATCGCTTAACACTGTGATGGGCAGATCAACCCGTGAAAATCATCAGCTTCAAATCAGATTTGTATATTTAGAAACTTTAATCGAGACATTTGGAAATCCAATATACCGAGTTTTTATAAGGAGGAGTTAAATAGCTGTATCGTGCTGTCGCAAATATCGCCCATCACTGATTTAACATGAATGTTCTTAAACATTTTTATTCGACTACAAAATCAGAATCGTGTCTGTAGTTTCGAACCTGGACAACGCGGTTGTTAATGGACTTATCTTCACGTGGTTGTTTAATACGGTAATGATATTATAGTTTGACGGCGCTAGAAAAGATCGCGCGAAAGAGATCCTTTTTGAAATGTAAATCGCTTCTGTGTACCGATTCGTGTCGTACGGCAAACCAATTATTCTTTTATCGAATGAAACGAGGCGCCTGGTAGAAGTTTAGTCCGGGTTCGAAACTGTGCACCGAGGCAATTGATTTCCCGTGAACGAGAGCAAAGTAATACTAGCATTCGATGGCGCAAACTAATTAAACGCTCGGTTGATTTATTTTCTTTTTTAACGTTTCACATATTCATGAAAATCAATTGGTCTCGGTTAAAGTGATCACGTCGACGTACGTGTTGATTTGACCCAACGAGCTCGATCGTATTAATATATTCTAATTAGAGCATTTGAAATTCCGTCAGATTATAAAGATATTTGGATAGAAGATCTAGCTCGTTGGTGAACCTGAATGCTGGGACAGGGTACCCCTGCGGGCACGCGCCACCGCCCGCCCATAATTTCACTCTTGGCATGATCGGTTTCGACGAGCAAAAAAATCAATACGAAAAAGATACAGAGAAATTGAACAGAACATTGAAAATTTCTTTCGACGCTTTGCGGCGCCCTCACGCGATCTCCGGGCTCTGTCCTTCGCTCTCGCGTGGTAAGTCTAACGTCACTCTATTACTTCACACGAGCATTCAAGATTTAGCCATTCAACGGGTGGAATGGATGCTCGATGCAGCTGTCAGCATTCGAGCTTTCAACCTTTTTTGAAACTGTATGGTTAGAGAGGACATACGGTACTCCGCCAATCCATTATGGGCATTGAAATACAGGCAGGGTGAACGACGTTACTTGATCACATCTCAGTTACTTTTGATCACAGATACGAGGGACAAGTATTATACAGGACAAAAGTTATTCACGCTTACTAGGACTTTATCAATATTTTTTTTATAAAACCACATGTTATAAATATGTGATCTGAGCTTTACATTTGATTAAAAGAAATACACAGACCCATTTTCGTAGAAATGTCAAGAGACATATAGTTCAGCTACCAAGTATAAGTTGCAAAAATTAAGATGCTTAATTTTGATGCAGTACTAAGGTGCTCATAATGAAGTGATAGGGTACCGTGCACCTTCGTTGGGTACAGAGCTATCGTTACTGTATCGCTAAATAGGCAGGTGAATTTTTATCCGCGACAGTATCAGCGATGCACAAAATATAACAACGAGAATTATTTTGAAGAGGGGTCCGAGCAGGGGACCCACAAAGACTCCACAGTTCTTTTCTGAAACAGAACCGGTGGGCAGCGTACGACCAAAATTCCCTTCCATGGACAACATAAACGGACTTTCTACGGAATCGAAACGCAGTTTCCCGCTTCTCTGCCCCGCCCAAGGATTCCCGGTACCGGTTTCTAGGTACGATATCTCTGATCACTGATGCCCGGTACCATGTATTGGCACGAGATCAAAAAAAGAAGGGAACTTCCAGCGTAGGCGGAAAAGTTGAGGAAAGACCGGAAGAGAATGTTAGAAATGGATCTCGAGTAGGACCTTTCTTCTTAATTGTATTGTTCTGAAAGCTTGCAAAGTCTGGTAAAGAGTTTTCTTTGTCTATAAGAGAAATTTTACTCGTAATCAAACTTCATCTTGTATCCCATAATGGCGTCACAGATGCCTTTTATATCAAACTACACTGAATTAGCTTCAAAGGACATCTTTCAGAATGTACTTCTCTTTTGTGAACACGGTATGAATCACCTAACAGAAACGAACAAATCAGAGTATTTTGAGGTCGCTAATTTTGCACGGAAGTTCACGGGAAAAGTGATCGAGCATTTCGACGAGTAAAGGTTACAGGGCGATCAAACAGCGTTTTCTTTCACAAAGAACATAGAAGTTTCCACGGGACCTGACGCTTCAAAAGACTCGTAATCGGATTAACGGTTGAGAAACTAGAAGGGTGACACATGAGGCGGCTCAGATCCCTTCAGGGGTTCCCCGTTCAGCAGGCAGGTAAATCCTTGTCAACGGCTCTAATCACGTAGGATCTGCCGGTACTCGTAAGACTACTCGAGCGTTGGCCGCAAAAGTGATTCAGAAAGACATAAAAATCGAAGCGTGTAGTTCGAGTTTATCCTCGTGAAAAGTTATCCTTCAGGACCATAACGTTGAAATCCTTGGTATCCAGAACCTGTCGGCAGTGTTCGTCCAAAGATTCCATCTACGGACGACATTCGTGGATTCAGGACGACGATGAACGGATCTCAGGCTTTGATATGTCCTGCCCAGGGGTTCCCCGTTCCCTCTAACAGGTAGAAACGTTTAACGAAACGAACACTCTTCTATTCTCCGAAAGCAACATTGCTGTTTGTATAATCAGAGCCAGTCGGCAGTGTGAGGCCGAAATTCCCGACCATCGACGATTCCAGGAGTTTCCGAACGGTCAAGGATGGCTCTGTCACCCTCCTCTGCTCCGCTCAGGGTTACCCTGCCCTGGTATTCAAGTAAGTTTCGGCTCGTGACGGTCAACTTATGTCTTCTGTTTTTCTTTCGATCTCGACCGCAGAACCCGTGGGAAGCGTCCGACCAAAATTCCCGTCCGTGAGCAACATAAATGGCTTGACGGTCGTGTCAAATGGGACGCTGCCCCTTCTCTGTCCCGCGCAGGGATTTCCGGTGCCAAATTATAGGTATGCTGTCCAAAATGCTTCGACGTTGTGATGCTTCAAACATAAAGGCCCCTAGAACCCAGGATCTCCCTAGACAATCTTTAGGTTCTAGCTTGCTCTACACTTTGTTTAGGTCCTAATTGCCTAGGTCTAGCACTATCTTCAGGTCATAGATTCTAACTTAGCACTAGCGTTCTAGGTCCACACACAGGTTCTAGACTTCAAACCATAGACTCCCCTACACTCTGTTTTATACATTTTAACAAAGATCAATTCGTTGAAGTCCGTTCAGGGGTTCCCGAATCCTAGTTTCGATGAAGCGATATTTATAACTTCGTGACCGCGATTTGATAACATGCAGAGCCAGTCGGCAGCGTAAGACCGAAATTCCCGACTATCGACGATACGAGGGGCTTCCGTACGATGAAAGATGGCTCGGTGACGTTGATGTGCGCCGCCCAGGGGTTCCCTGTCCCCGTGTACAAGTAAGTCGCGTGGACGAGATTCGTGTTACTGGACGCACGGTAAACACTGTTTCTTTCGACGACGATTCGCAGAGCCCGTGTCGAGTACACGACCGAAACTCTCCAGTACAATCAACTTGATCGGACTCACGACGAGGACGAACGGAAGCTTGCCGCTTTTCTGCCCCGCTCAAGGATTTCCCCTTCCGTCTTATAGGTAGGGAACTTGTTGATAAGATTTCGAGGCACGATTACAGTTGAGGATCTTAGGCTGTTAATTCCGCGGAGCTTCTTATTAGTTTCTAGGATCTTGTACAGGCGTCAGGAAACTTTGTCGCGACAAATGGCTGAACCTTGTAGCTGACGTTAATCTACGCTACGCTGACTAATATTCCTTCTTAATGATCGAGGAGATCGTTCAACTTTCGCGAGTGTCTTGGATCGATGAGTCTATTCCCGATGGGTTCCCTGTCCCGTACTTCCTCTACGCGAAATATTAAAGAGGCACCGTCGTTCTTTACACGCTTCTTTCCTCCGGGAATTCTCGTAGAGCCCGTGGGAAGTGCACGCCCCAAGTTCCCAACGATGGATAACTCTCGCGGGTTCATCTCCAGTCTCGAACAGACGGTGACGATGCTGTGCCCTGCTCAAGGATTTCCAGTACCTTCGCATAGGTGGGACCGCGGTTAGATTCGTTGATAACCTTTATCGGATGGTAGAAGCCTTTACCGACTATGAGCCAGAGTTCTATTTCGAGTTAGCTTTATTACTCGCGAACTATCTTCCGATAGTTGATTGCGCGACTCAAATGTTAAGGAAAAGACTTTGATAAAGCTTTACGTCGCGTCAGATTTGTGTCCTCATAAATCAGTTTGCAAGCCGCTACTCCATGTGGTATGCATATGGTAGATACAGTGAAACACTTGATGCAGTGTCATCATTTATATTGTTGGATCCAGTTTCAAATTCTCCAAGCTTCTGCGTTGAGATTCCACTTTAGTCATAAGTTAACCTGTGAAAATTTCGCTTCATTTTATCTTGTTACCTCATGGCATGCCGTCCGATAAGGGTTAACATCTTATTATTATCCAAAATAAAACTCGAGGAACAGACTTCAGGTGTGATCAACTGGGACTAATTCGGAGCACCCTGTCCCGGCGTCAGTTAAGTGGAATCGATTGATCACGTCTGTCTGTATTTCTCGCAGAACCCGTGGGCAGCACTAAACCAAAATTCCCGATGACCGAAAATTCTCGCACGTACACGGTTCACTGCGATCAACCTCTGACTCTGATGTGTCCGGCCCAGGCTTTCCCCGTTCCAGCTTTCAGGTACTCGGGAACACGCGAAGTTTCAAAGAACGTAGCTCGAATCCTCGTGAAATAGGAAAAAAAAATTGTTGGTGTCTCCTTTAGAGCCGGTTGCGAGCACCCGCCCGAAATTTCCATCTTTGGCGGATTCGCAGACGTTTAAAGTGGTACTCGGTGGTGCGATGACGTTGCT